AATGCCATTGGAATTTGGATCAGGATTGCATTGTACCTGTAGATAGCTTTGGGTAGAAATGACATTTTCACAACAATGTTGAGTCTTCCTATCCATGAACAAGGTATGTTTTTCCACTTATGCAAGTCTCTTTTGGTTTCTTGCAGTAGTGTCTTGTACTTTTCATTGTATAGGTCTTTACGTCTCTGGTTAGATTGATTCCTAAGTATTTTATTTTCATGGGGCTATTGTAAATGGTATTGATTTGGTGATTTCCTCTTTGAAGTTCTCTTTGTTGGTGTAGAGGAATCCAACTATTTTTGTACGTTTATCTTCTTTCCTGAAACTTTGCTTAAATCTTCTATTAGTTCCAGTAGTTTCCTTGTGGATTCTTTGGGGTTTTCTGTGTATAAGATCATATCATCTGCAAATAGAGATACTTTGACTTCTTCCTTACCTATTTGGATGCCCTTTATTTCTTTTTCTAGCCTAACTGCTCTGGCTAGGACCTCCAGCACACTGGTGAATAAGAGTGGTGATAAAGGGCATGCTTGTCTGGTTCCCGTTCTCAAGGGGAAGGCATTCAGACTCTGTCTGTTTAGGACGATATTGGCTGTTGGCTTTTGTATTAATGCCCTTAATTATGTTGAGGAATTTCCCTTCTATTCCTATTTTGCTGAGAGTTTTATCATGAGTAGGTGTTGGACTTTGTCAAATGCCTTTTCTGCATCAATTGATAAGATTATGTGGTTCTTGACTTTTGTTTTATTTATTGATGGATTACGTTGATTGTTTTTCTAATGTTGAACCATCCCAGCATACCTGGTATATGGATTTTATTATACTTTTATTCTTCATCCCCTTCTCCAGCCCTCAGATTATCAAAATGAGTTCAAATTTTTCCACATAACATCAATGGCTGAGTTATGTGGATAAACACGCATGTGTTTTATCTAAAGATATTCCCTGACAGGGAATGAGGTGTTTCAGAGAGGCTGCTTTTCCAAATAACTGAGGTGTACTTTTTAAAGCAATAAAACATTAAGTCTTTCTAAAACAGATTAAAAACTTTTCAGCCTTTTAAAACAGAATATATATAACATATAATCTTTTCTTGATAATGTGACTTATGAAAGCAGAAGTTTCTTGAGGACTGTCTGATTTATTTCTAAAGCCTAACACAGTGCTGGCCACACAGTAAGCCCTTGTGTGTACTGGATACCCTCTTTTGGGCAGAGAGGTGGGAAAGTGCTTTTCCAGACTCCCTTGCAGCCAGAGTTCTGGGTGTGAATTTAATTCCACAAATTAGATGCACTCTTGCAAGGTTTGGAGGTAGAAGTGAGGCAAGAGCCATTTTTCTGCCATGTTTTAGTTGATTCTGCCAGCAACATCATGGAAACCCATCCATTCCAGAATCCATCCTCCAGCTACCCAGGTTTGGAGAGGCAGTGCAGCACCAGCAACACCTATGACAGCTTCTTGATTTCAGCTTTCGGATCTTGGGATCACAGCTAAGGGAGTGTTATGGATTGAACTGTGTCCCCCAAAAATGTGTGTCAACTTGGCTAGGACCTGATTCCCAGTATTGTGTGATTGTCCACCATTTTGTCCTCTGATGTGATTTTACTATGATGATAGTGAGGCAGGATTAGAGATAGTGATGTTAATGAGGCTGAACTTAATCTACAAGATTAGATTGTATCTTGAGTCAATCTCTTGAGATATAAAAAAGAGAAGCGAGCATAGAGACATGGGGACTTCATACTACCAAGAAAACAGTGCTGGGAGCAGAGCCTGTCCTTTGGACCTGGAGTCCCTCCACTGAGAAGCTCCTAGACCAGGAGAAGATTGATGACAAGGACCTTCCCCCAGAACCAACAGAGAGAAAAGCCTTCCCCTAGAGCTGGCACCCTAAATTTGGACTTCTAGCCTCCTAAACTGTGAGAGAATAAATTTATCTTAGTTAAAACCATCCACTTGTGGTATTTCTGTTACAGCAGCACCAGATAACTAAGACAGGGGGTATATATATTTTTTTATTGGAATATAACTCAGTAAATAATAATACAATAATTCACCCTTTTAAAGGGTAAAATTCAACGGTTTTTCGTATATTCAGAGTTGCACAACCATCACCACTATCTAATTCCACAACATTTTTAAATCACCCTAAAAAGAGCCTCTTTATTCATTAGCAGTAACTCCCCATTCTTCCCTTGTCCCAGCCAGTAATCTATTTTCTACCACTATGAATTCACCTATTCTGGATAGTGCATGTAAATGGAATCATATAATATGTGGCCTTTTGTGTCTATACTCTTTCACTTCCCATGTTGTAGCATGTATGTACTTCATTCCTTTTTATGGGTGAGTAATATTTCATTGTTCAAATTCACCTAGAGTCTCTTAAAAGAAAATCATGGTGATCTACTTCCGAAAGATCACAGCTACTGGAAACTCTATGGAGTGCAGTTCTACTCTGACACACATAGGATCACCATGAGTTGGCATTAACTCCATGCAACTGGTTTTTTGGTTTTGGTATGGACAGACCACATTTTGTTTATCCATTGAGCAATTAATGGGTTGTTTCTACTTTTTGGCTATTACGAATAATACCACTGTAACATTCAAGTACAAGTTTTTGTGTGGTTACACATTTTTAAATTCTGGTAGGTATATACCTAGGAGTGGAATTGCTGGGTCACATGGTAATGCTATGTTTAACTTTTTGAGAAGCCACTGAACTATTTTCCAAAAAGGCTGCACTATTCTACATTCCCACCAGAAATATATGATTCTAATTTCTCCACATCCTCGCCAAGGTTTGTCCATCTTTTTGGTTATGGCCATCCTAGTGGCCATGAAGTGATTCTGATTTTCATTTTCTTAATGACTAATGATGTTGAGCATCTTTCCATGTGCTTATTGGCCATTTATACATCTTCTTTGAACAAGTGTCTATTCAAAGGGTATACTCTTGAACTCATACCTCTTGTGGCAACCTCAGGGGCAGTAGCTTCCCTGGAGGGTCAGGTCCATCCTGTTCTAGGACTTATTCTCAAAGGCACTGCCTCATACCCGTTCCTTTAGCCCTTCTAACAATTTGTAAATGCCCAATTTCCTGAATTCAATTCTGTACTGCTTAAAATGTCTAGAGTGTTTTATTTCCAGCATCAAACTCTGGCTGATAGAGCCCTCAAAAATATTACTAAGAGGATATTTGTTTGATTGTTTCTTATTTTACTGCTGTACTCTGGATAGCAACCTGAGGTTGCCAAACAAGTTATCTCTTATGGATTATGCTATTAATTGTGTGTATGTGTATTAGTTTCCTATGGCTGCCAAACAAATTAACACAGAATTACTGCCTTAGACAACACAAATTTATTATGTTACAGTTTTGTAAGTCAGCAGTCTAACATGGGTCTCACTGGGCGGGGCTACGTTCCTTTCTGGGTACCCTAGGGGAGGATGCATGTCCTCGCTCATTTGGGTTGTTGGCAGAATTCAGTTCCTATGGTTGTAGGACTGAGACCCCTGTTCTCTGCTGTTGTCAGTTAAAGGCTATTCCCAGCTTCTAAAGGCCACCCACATTCCTTGGCTAACAGCTTCCTTCTCCCATCTTCAAAGCCAGCAACAGCAGGTCAGGTCCTTCTCAAATTTCAAATCTCTTCCCCTTCTTTTTTCTCATCTGTCTGACCTTCTCTTCTGCCTTCCTCTTCCACTTTTTAGGACTCCTGTGATTAGACTGGGTCCACAATGATAATTCAGGATAATCTTCCCATCTCAAGGTCCTTAACCTTAATCACATCTGCAAAGTCCCTTTTGCCATGTAAAGTAATATATGCATACTTTCTGAGGACTACGGTGTGGATTCTTGGGGGAGAAGGTAAGCATTTATTATGCCTACCACAATATGGACCTTCATATTTAAAATATTCCAAGTCAGAAGTCATTTGGTATTAAAATTTTCATGACAATTTATTGCCACATTCACATATAATTATTTCTTCAAAGTACTTCAAACATCTCATAACTACTAATTATTACTATTAATCATTATAACGATGATCTGAAAGCATAAAATAATATACAGATACTTTATGACACTAAAACCCCTAGGCCAAGTTTATGCCATTTTTTCTAGCACTGAGACATAGCTGAGCAATTACACCTTACAATTAAATAGCACTTTATAGTTTTACCAGTGCTCCTGTATCCATTATCTCATTTGTGCTACATAATAACCCTGGGAGGTACAAAAAAACGAAGCATGTCTTTTATTATTCCCTTTTTTCACAAGAGCAAATGGAACTTCAGAAAGATTACTGCTTACCCAAGTGTGGTAAGTTTAAACATTTCTTACATATGAAGTGATATTTAAGAAAGGGGTATGCAGGGAGTAAATTCATAAATGGGCTATACTTAGAAAATGATCAGGTCACAATCCTCCCAGGGAAAATGCAGACACTGACAATATTTTTAAGAATATTAAAACAACAAATGGTATTTGCTGATTTGATCTGAAATAGGATAAGGATTCACTTTGAAGAGAACCAGGAATTAGACACTTGTTCCTGAAGGTTTTCCACACTGTGAAGCTACCTTACCTTGCTTTTCCTCTCAGATGTACAAAAAAAGATATACATACAGATAAAAGACACATTAAAGGCATCCGACCTGTCTGATCTTGTCCGTTTTAGTACAACAAGGGGTAGGAGAGTATAGGGACAAGTACACAAAGGCATGCAAACAACAAATTTAAGCAAGCCAGAGGCATGGAGAGCCAGAATCTATTGCCATCCTACTGATAATGATCATACACAGGAAGATGGTACTTTTCCCTCTTTAGATTATATTCTGATTCATCAAAGATACCGCAAGCTCTGCAATGTATGCCTCTATGATTTTTCCAATCCTGCTCCTCCAAAGGAACTCATATACAATAAGAAAATGACATAGTATTTCTTTCCTTACTCTTTTCATCTGAATGTACACCCACTATCCTCCTCCTTTACCTTCCAGCGCCTGTTAAGGAGACAGGATTGTCAATAAGGTATTTGAACTTGTTCCTTCGAACAGGGTGATGCCAGACATGGTCTGTAGGACGCAGAGGATGCAAAAGACCACCCTAGGAGAAACCAAAAACACATAAATATACAGCAGAGGGCGCTCTTGTCAAATGAAATCTATTTTTAATAGTTTTCAATATTTACATTAAGGGCATTTGGATACTCTGTGGAAAAAAAGAGAGCAAAATTTTCATTCCATACTACGGAGAAAGAGTGAAACTAGAACAGTTCTATAGTAAAGAAAAACATCAACACTAAGAGAGTACAAATGACCACTAATGATTTGTGGAAGGAGCCTAGGTGGCACAACAGTTAAGCACTCAACTGCTAACCATAAGGTTGGCAGTTCGAACCCACCCAGAGGCGCCTCGGAGAAAAGGTCTGGCAATCTGTTTCTGAAAGGTCACAGCGCTGAAAACCCTATGGAGCAGTTCTACTCTGCACACATAGGGTCACCATGAGTCGGAACTGACTTGACTCAACAACAACTAACAATAACAATCATTTTGGTAAATCTGCATAAAAACAGATTAACTAAAATACTCAAGCATTTGCCTTGGAAACATATATTCATACAAAAGATTCTAGTTTTCAATCTAGGAAATTTTTAAAATATGTTTTTATGACTATCTGGAATATATAATACATGCTCACTAAATACTTATTAAAATGAATACCAAAAAGATGAATGTTCCTAAGTACTTTATACATATATATATACACATACCTTTGGGGTTTTACTTTTCTTAGGAGGCAGTAAGTTCTCAGGACAAGTACCAGCATTGGCTGCATAAGTCAGAGAAAGAAGAACTTCCTCGGGTATGAACTCATTCTGGAGGGAAGTAGGAAGGGGTTTTGAACGATCCACCGTATTTTTTTTATCTCTCAGTTCAGGAAGTCCTGACAAAATAATGGGAAAGAAAAGCTCTTACTATAGTATTTTGGAGAGTTAGATGGAGTTTCCCAGCCTGCCTCATCAATCCCATCTATGTTTCTAACAAAAAGAAACATTGCTTCTAGTTGACAAGAATAGTAACAAACAATATTTAAAACACAGATGATCATCTAGTCAAGAAAAACAAACATATTCCCAGCCCTACTTACATATCAGACACAGGTTCAAAAACTCAGGTACAAAGATGAACCTCCATTATCCCAAATTCAAGGTTAAAATTTAAACTCGCTTCACTTGCTCAATTAACTGAGATAGGCTTAAAATGATGGGAATATATTTTCCTTATGATGTGAAAATGACAAAAGAAAGCTCCACTCCTCCAAACTGTCAAATTATTGAGTAATTTTTACTATATATGTCCAAAGGAGAGAATGACTGCATTAAGTTGTAGCACTTAGAGTGAAAGGGATCTGAGTTGGGTTTCAAAATAAGAGTGGAACTGGGAGAGCTGGAAACGAAGTGAGAGGACATTCTGGGTAAAGTGGAACAATCTGAGCAAAGTAGTGGAATAAGAACAATACAAAGCTGACTACAGCAGAAGAGTTACAAAGGTTGGGTTAATATGGGAAAAAGCCTCCTATGAAGTTGGTCAAGTACAGTTGGTTTGTCACTGGTTCTTAAAAAACTCTCCACTAATCTATGTCCCTCATCTATTATGGCTTAATTTCTATAAGAAAGTACCATACTTTGATCACCATCAAAACCTCTAAGGTCCACATTATCAAGTCTCTATCTCTGGAGAGCTTAGAACAGAATCAGGATATCAGAGGAAATAGAAAAAAGTGGTGGGGAGGAGCAGAGGTTTTAGCATAGTCTCCCCTAAAAACAAGAAGATGAGGTTGGAGAAAACTTTAGCCTAACAGGGGTAGGGACAAGTCTAGCTGAATTCTTTTTCTGGTACAGATTTGCATTTATCTATATTTGAATGAAAACCTTAAGTAAAGAATTAATCTCATTTAGAAAAATTACTAAAACCTGATCTAAACTAGGTTGTACTAGATTGCATGTTGTTCTCTTATCTCTTATTACTATTTTTAAAAGTTCCTTAAAGTCAGAAACCAGCTACCAAAAAGTGCTGTTTCATTAGTATAAAATCGGGTACATAAACAGGGTGAATTTAAAACAATATAAAACTCAAAAGCATTTGAAAAACAATTGTAAATTACAGCCCAAGAGTAGTGAAACGGTACTGACTAAAAAATATCGTAAAAGGAACGTCTTTTGATTTTATTTAAACAAATGTGTTAGAAAAACCTGGCTAATTAAGCCATTCTGAAATCTCAGATTAGAGAAAACGGTAATTGGGTTGTGGTTTCTGTCTATGGCCATGATTTTTTACGTCGGCAGGATCCTTGAAGAACTTTACCTCTTGTCTCTTCCTTGGAAGCAGATACTTTTAATCTTTTGCCCTCAGGCGTTGACGCGCCGTTCAACAATGTGGAGGACGTTTTCGGGAGAGACATAATAAACAATGCCTTTATTACTCTCTTTAGTAATTTGAAATATTCCTCCGGAAAGGCAGCCTAGAAACAAATCAGCGCCGTACCGGGACGTGGCAGGACTGCCACATTACTCTGCAGGCAAAAAAAAAAGAGAGAGACCCATTAAGTGTTTAAATTAATACTGGGGTTTAGAATTCATCCAACATGGGTTTTTCTTCTTTTAAGAGACCTTTATGTTCTCTCAGGTCATCTGACGCGACTAAGAAGCCTGTACGTGCGTCCAGGTCAGGGCCCAGGCAGGGAAAGACACGTTCAGCCCACGCCACCAGATCATGGACACCACCTAGTGGGCGCCCCTCGCTCTAGGCGAGTCGGCTGGCATCACGCCCCCGACCCCTCCCGCCGCAGACCGCGTCGTCGCGCACGCCCAGCTCCTCGGACTCAAGGGTTAGGCAGGGTTAGCACCGTTTCTGAATCAGAAGTGACGTGAAAAAGACACCTGCAATCCACACCCACAAACTGTGTTTCCCGCCAGGCAACAGCCCGCTTCGCCTTTTCCCGGAATGCTCGTGTGTCGTCATAGAAACCCAGGACCCGGACCCTTAGCAACCGTCAATGGGGCTGCCTTCGGCGGTGCCGGCAGAGAAGGGAAGTAACAAAAAAAATTCCTACAATCGATGTGTTTTAAGTTACAGCATAGGTTAATGATAATGTAAAATGAAAATGTCTAATCGGGCCATTCTCACAGAATCCGAAAGTACCTGATCTCGGTCTTCCAGCGGCGGGCCCGTGTCAGTGCGCAGGCGCTAGCCTGCACCGCGGCCCCTGGCCGGCCGCTTGGTGCGCTACTGGGTATGAGTGTGGGTACTTTATGTTTTCCCTCGCTCTGTTCCTCTCTTTTGTTGTTGTTTTGCATACTTTCCTAAAAGACAAGATCGGGGGAAATTGGATAATCAAAAACTCTGGGTTCCCATCGATTGAGGCTTTATTGCGGATGCTGACCCGACCTTGGCATCGTGATGATGCCTTCTCTGGACCCTTAAACGGCTGTTCCCTGCCTCTCAGCCCCGGAACATACGAAGGGCATTCCTGGGTCGAGATTTTTATGCTGGAGGCCAACCGCAAGCAAAATCATTAGGTCTTCTTGCTTTAAAACCTGCTGTCAAGGAAGAATGCAATAAGCTCATTAGCACGGATTTGGTGAGACTCCGCTCCTAACTGCCACCCCCAAGGATTATCTTTTTAAGATAGAGCCTTAATGCCAAATAGGGAGTGTCAGTGGAATTCCAGCGTCTGACTGCCTCAAATCTCGAAGGTAAATTTCAGGAGGGAAGAAAACTTGTCTATCGGTTCACTCGTCATATCCCTTAATACCAAGCACAGTGCCTGGCACAAGTGCCTTCAATACGTGATGACTGCAAGTCAGTTCGACAGTTGTGCTTTTGTGTTGACAGACTTTGGTTGTCAGCATAACAGCAAAGAGAAACAAAACAGCAGAATCTCTGACCCCTTTTAATTCTGGTAGTCAAATACCTTGGGTGTCTGAGCCTATCTCCTGTCACCCTAATTTTTCTCTGGATTTTCAAAAAATTAAAATACTCTCGTATAGCACTGTCTAGTTCATCTTAAAGATTGGTAACCATCAAAACAAGTGATGGGCAGAAGCAATGCACAAGTAGGTGAAAGGTAATTGCCCCGTTTGTTGCCTTCCTCCCTCCTTACCGGCTTTATGACTCCACATTATAGTTTGGAACCATAACCACAATACTGAACTTCAGAGATCCCAAAACTCCAGCGTCAGCTCATAGATGGTTTATCAAGCCCTTAGATAATAGAAGAAAAAAGTAATTCATTTGTCATCTTCCTACCTAGTTCAAAAATCTAAAGATATTGATAGAGGACATGGAGTTAAGTGAACTGATTGAAGAGATACATAGAAAGTAAAATCTGTAGGATTGGGAAAGTGATTGGATTTGTGGTGTAAATAAAAAGACATTAAAGATTACTTCTAATTTTCTATCCTGTGCAACTGTCTGGTGCTCGTGCCATTTACTGAGACTGGGAACAGAGGAGGAAGAGCAGGTTGGAGGAGAGCTTTGGAAAAAGCTCAGTTTAGGATTTGTGGGCATATTGAGTTTGCAGTACTTTTGCAATATCTGGGTATAAATGACAGGTATTCACTTTTATATACATATATATATATATATACACACACACACATATATATATATATACACACACACACGAGCCTGAAGCTCAGCCACGGTCTGGGCTAAAGTTGTAAGAGTATATGAGACAATAATCACAAGAATAGATGAGAACATAAAAGCATTACAGTAAGACCACCACTATTGAAGAATACAGTTGGCTACTCTTAGGAAACTTCCCTAGTAATTTTTAATTACAGTAAGAAACTCTTAAAATGCAGTAATGTAAAAATATTAATCTCATCTTTCATGGAGAATACCGTAGCAAAATGTAAGATGAGCAGGTAAGAATTCTCTTAGGTACAAAATATCAAGACATAGAGTGATGGTCAGAGCAGCAGTTATTTATAAACAGGGCTAACTGCTTGTTGTTTGCATTGGCTGACTTCTGTGGCAGCCTAACACCAGCTCAGCAGCAGGGTCCCTCAGGGCCTCGGGTGGACATAATACCTCAGAAGAGAGCCAGTCAGTGTGATCACAAACATGCCCTGAACAGGGGAGGGAGGGGAAGCAGAGGACAGTGGGTGTGCTTTTGCCCCAATCTACCTTTTACCAACTCATTTTCTAAGCACATGGGCAGTGATTATACACACACCTGCTGGCATTTAAATAGAGCACACTAAACTCCCTGATGAAATCCGTGGAAAACACCAGTATTTGGATTTACTATAACTGAAAAATGAAGGTATAAATAAAAGCAAATTTAGGATAGCTCAACCAAACACTTTCCAGGGAAAAAGTTGCTTCTAGTATTGCTTCTACAGAGGACAGCCTTAAAACTAGATTGTCTTGGTTTTATGTCACTATTCCATGCACCTCTCTACCCTCCTCCTGATCCCCATGGATGTGCCTACAGGAAGAAATATACTTTAGTTCACAAGTGTATCTTCAGTAGCTGGCACATGGTGATGATGCAGTCTGGGAGAATAAATACATCTTCCTCACTGTGAAATGGTCTTCTACAGAGAGTGGATGCAGTGATCCTAACCTGATTATTATTGAGATTTCTCATGGTAAATTTACAAACTGGTATTCTAGTTTTATAGATCAGATGCATGTGCTTGACTAATTTAGGTCCACACCCAAACTATCTAAACCTAAAAGGACAAGACCCTAACCTTTCATAAATTTGTAAAAAATAAAAAAATAAAAAATTGCTACATTGAGGCTTTGCCCTTAGTGGCAATGAACAGTCCACTTGGTCTAAGAAACAGGAGCACATTTAATTTCTGTAGGTGCTTTCCCCTCCCCACTCCACTGGCGCTGCAGGAGTGCCACTGGACAGCGCTTCATGACTGTTGACGTATTTATGTCTATGAAACTCTACCATTATGGTATTTGTGGAAAGAATGTTGCAATGTCAAGTACTAACCATAACAGATACCTAGTAAGAGCAGATTGGAGCACTGGTGCCTCAGTGGATATGAGCTCCGCTGCTAACCAAAGGTCGCAGTTCGAATCCACCAGCCACTCCCTGGAAACCCTACGGGGCAGTTCTACTCTGTCCTGTAGGGTCGCTATGAGTCCGAATCGACTCAACTGCAACAGGTTTGGTTTGATGAGAGGATTGTTGGAGGGAGGGGAAGCAACCTATCTTGTTTCAAAACTGGTTTCCCCCAGTCTTGTCTTAAAAGGCAACCCCTTTCTGGCCAACAGATTTTTACCTTTCATTAGAAACCAAAGTCAATTTTTACCTTTTAGGGTGAGGGAATTTTCTTATAAAGATACACTCATAGGTTTTAAAAGGCCAACAGCAAAAAGAATCAAGTAGCAAATAACGAATGACCCATAATATGGAGAGGCGGTTGAAGAGTCAGTGTCACTGATTTTCTTGATGCAGATACAAAAAAGTCACAAATGGGCCCCACCATTTCTTTGTAAGGAGCCCTGGTGGTGCAGTGGTTAAAGTGATCAACTGCTAACCAAAAGGTCGGCGGTTCGAAACCCCAGTGGCTACGCAGGAGAAAGATGTGGCAGTCCACTTTCGTAGAGATTTACAGCCTTGGAAACCCTATGGGGTAGCTATGAGTCAAAACTGACTCGATGGCGGTGGGTTTGGCTTTGGTTTTATTTCCTTGTAATCTGTAACACAGCTCCCCCTCCATCAGCCTACACAAGAAAAGTCCTGTTCAGTTACTTGCCTTCCCTTTGGCTATATGCAGCACATAAAGCTGCCTGATGTTAAGATGAAAGCATTTGAACTACAAATATTTGTGTTTACAAATAAAGTTAATACTGAATACGCTTTGAAACGAGTTTGTTTTTTCCAAATATATTTATTTACCATATTCTTCACATATGCAGTATTTTACCATTTTATATATAATTTTAAGTATTAAAAATTCTTAATACAATGCATACTAAACAAAGTCATGGTATCACTGATTAGACATACTAAGATTTTATTGGGAAGAGGGGGACACAAGAATGCAGGAAAAGAGCAGCCAAGAATTAGAACAGACATCTATTAATAACAAACAAACTGTTAAAACAACTTCAGATTTAAAAAGACCCTTCTGCTGCTCTCAGAACACCATGGATGAGTGCATAAGCTAGAAAGGTACAGACACAGGAAAACTACACGGGCCCAGATGGCAGTGCCTTGACTGGGGCTTGAGCCCACGTCCCACCCAATTAATTGGCACATCTGCGTACAAGACTCCAAACTCTCTAAACTACTGGGCCCATGAGCTGGTTCATGTTCCAAAAGGTATATAAAGCAAACAGAAAGTACACCTACCCACTTCATTAACACACACACACAAAAAAAAAAGCCTCAAAGCATGATGAAGTAGCTGCTAGCTTAAAGATTAGCACTCCGTTGGGAAATACATGCGGGCAGCAGAAACATGAATGTAATAATGTAGGAATAAGGCAAAAACATTTAGGAAAAAAAGTAGTACAGAGGTGGTTTTAGAGTGTGTGTGGATTTTTTTTAAACCATATCACTTCTGAAATTAACCCTTTTTCTCAAGTCCAGATTGGCTATTAAAAAGTCTTATTATGTTTTACAGGAAAAAAATAGAAATTTTACTAAAGATTTATGGAATACATGTCATGCAGCATTCCTACTAACCTGAAACATATTAATGTTACTATCAATATTATCCATTAATTTTCAAACTGGGCATTAAATTCAGAGTGGGGGAAGGTCATGGGGGTACCAAGCACGTAGGGCCCCAGGCCCACACTCCCTATTTCAACCACAGTAGCTATATTTTATCTTTCAGAAAATGAGCTTAGTGTAACATTTTCTTTCAGTGAAGGGTTCCAATACTGTAATCCCTGATGGAAACTAATCAAATCCTTACACAGCTTCATAGGTAATATTCATTTCATTCCTCAAAACATTTATGTCCTAATTCCTTCAGTGTCTTAGCCATAAACATAAAGCCTAGAGATGAGGATACATGAAACAAAATCAACACATTCAAGGCAGATCTTTTGCACAAGATTAGTAAACAAGTCACACAAACTTTATTAAAAGAAGTATGAACTATCTTCCATAAAGAAATTTATTCTGCCTTCCAAGATTACAAGCATTCTTTACACTGGCAGAAACAGGGCTTCATTATGTTCCTTCCCCTACATAAATTCTAAAACTAAGTATAAACTATAGACTATTTCTAAACACTTAAATACCTAGGTAATAGCAGAAATGCATTTCTTTTTAGAAGTTTACCACACCTAGCCTAATGCTAAAACAGATAAATCTAAAGATAATTTTGGTGAGGTGCAAACAGGAGTGCCTTTAACAACCTTGTTAAAATAACTGAGTAAATTCCATTATAGGAGAGCCTATTTTATCAATCAAGGTGCAATGCCGATGTGCATCATCCTGAGAGTCTGTTACAAACAAACAAAACCCAAATATTCTGGGGCAACTACAGCATTTGAAACATTCCCATTTTTAAAAGATACCAATGAGATTAGGAGTTTATGAAGGAAACATAATGAATTTTAGAAGTTGTGCAGGGAACAAAAACATAATGAGCCCCTATTTCTGCCAGGGATAGTGCCCTGCAACAACCCTATGAGGTAGTTATTATCCCCATTTTACAGATAAATTAAGCAACTTTGCCCAAGGTCACATTGGTAGTAAGTACAGGGCTATCTTAATCAAAAGCCCATGGGTCATTTCACTACACCAGTGGTTTTCCAACTGGATATTTTGGGGGAGAAGAAGACGGGGGTACCAAGCAAGAAGGGCTCCAGGCCCACTATTCCCATCTCAATCAGAAGTAGCTATATTTTATCTGTTTTACATGTTGGGCTTAAGTGTAACATTTTTAAAAAGGGTTCCATAACTAAAAAATTTAAACTACTGCATTATATCATTCTACCTCGTTATTATACAGTCATATTAATTTACCTTCATTATTCTCCCCCCCACCAAAACAACAGTTTTACTAAAAATTACTTACACCCATATAAAACAAAGATATCTTTCTACATAAAAGACTTCAACAATTCATAAATTACATCTTTTTTAGGCTATGTGGCCCAAATGACCACCTTTTAAACATACAATGTTCTTTTACGTTTTCTTTTGTGACTTCAATTCTTCAGGCAAGTATAAAATTTTAAATTACAATAAAAATCGCCTATACTAAACAAATTAATTCCACAACATAATCTATGTTTACAAATATAGAATATTTAAACATTGTTCTTTCTTAACATGCCAGTATCACCCATTATTACTTTGCAATTGTTAAAAGATGAAAAATTCTTCCCCTACTTCTTTTGCTTACAAATGTTGATGCCACAGATGGGTAAAAGCAGGGTCAATTTTCTAATCAAATTCTAGCATATGGCAAGCAAATTTATCAGGTAATTTCAGTATTATTAAACCACCAATAAACAAAAACTCCTTTCTGTCTCATTATCCAGGAATGGGAATAAAAGCATGTAAAAAATTTATCCCACACAGAAAGCTACTAATAGACCAAGCTAGAAGTCTAATGAGAAAGTGAAGAGAAACACCTATTTAGTCATTCTCTTGAATAATACCCACAAAATAATGGTTAACTACCATTAACACTTCTTACAGGAAAGAAATTCTCAACTCATAACTTTTCAGAAGGAAAAATGTATTGTCCTGCAACTGAAAATAATTTCACACAAAATAGTAAAAATAAATAAATCTTCCTGAAACATACTGGCAAGGGTATTTTAGTCTAGTTTTTACTTGTTTAGAGCATAGGTGGTGGTGTAAGAACAGACTTTTGCGAAAAGCAGCTAGTAATAAGGCTGGCTGTCAGACTTGCTTCTTTCACAGAAAGTAGCTATTCCTTTAATTGTTATCACACTCTTGGCATTCTAACCCGTCTATGGTTCAACACAGTAACATTCGTTGTGGCTCAAAATCTTGGAGAAAAATACCACTAATAAACAAAAAAGGAAAATGAGAGTTTAAAAAAACAGTCTCAATCAGTCCAACAAATACAGTATTCAGAATCACTAGAGTAACAAAGTCTTCTCATAAGAGTAAACATTTACAATAATACTTAACAGAAATATAGACCCTAAAAATTCATTCTTCTTGACAACTGAAATTTTAGACAAAATCATTCTTGTTTCAAAAGACTGGCTTAGTAATATCCAAGTCTTAGACCAACCTGGTTTTCTCAGATCCCTCATTATATTTAAAATGTAGTTATGAATTCAATTTAATTGATTTTTTTAATTTTTAAGAAAAATGCCAGAAATTATAAGCTATATTAAACACAATCTTATTAGAAAGTTATGAGTCCACCACAATGACAATACCACTGTACAAAACATTACCACTTGAGAACATACGGCATACTTAAATAAAATTTTTTTAAAAAACCTCTTTTGAGGTTCATTTTCGTCTGCTGAAGGATTTCCTTTTTGAAAACTCCCTAAACTCATCTGGATCAATGGTATAGTGATTAAGCTGGGTACTTTGGGTCCAAATTAAGTTGTGACTATTAAGAAACTTTATCTTCTTGTGAGACTCCAACTGAATTTAAAACAATTCCAAAAAGAGTTCCCAAAACATCTTGAGTAACAGGAAGGCTATTAGAATAGCAAGACAGCCTTTCAAGCTGGCTGCTCCAATAATAATAATAATAATAATAATTTGGATACTTCTAAGTCTCATGTCTTTGGATGGGAAGCTGAATTACATGGCCTCTGATATCCTTTCCAATGTTTAATCTTTATGAACATGATCATACATACAAAATAATTCCCATACACCACACTGTATTAGGAATGGGCATCTTTATAACACGGAAACACCACGCACGAGTACATTTCCTTGAAAACAATCACATATTAATTTGTTTCACCTAATAAGTCCCCTACCATTAAAATATAATAATTGAGTAATTACAAAGCCAGCTTCTGTATCTTTAGTACTCATTTTAATATTAATGGAGGTGATTAATACTTACATTTCAGACTAACTAGTCTGCAAAATAATTCAAGATAGGTCAATATTTATTAGACAATAATATTATTGTACCAAAGGATGTTTCTAAACAACTTCAAAGAAGTTGTAACATTTGTTTCAACAGCTACTTTCCACAAAAGTTCCACAATAAAATAATTTAAAGACATGACTGGCTCTGAACACCTTTAAACAAATTACTTTGGAAGTTATAAAAGGAAATGTTTTTCTTTCTCTTGTGCTGCTTCTTTTTCCCTTTCCCCTTCTGGCTCCCTCAGTAAATAATATTAAGTATGCAAACTCAGGAATTCAAAGAGAAAGAAGTATTTTTGCTCCAAAAAATCATGACCTATATTGTATAGAGGAAAAAATGGTAAAAGTTGAGTAGGATTGAACTTTTTCTTTCCCCCCCAAAAAAAAACCAGGGTATATAACAAGATTATCTTTGGAAAACAGATGGCATTTTCTCTTTCTAGTAGAATAGCAACAATAATTCCACATTATTTTTTCTTCCCCAATTGCATTTTTAATAAACACACATTCCAACTGTGTGCATGAAAAAAATTCTAAGCTCAGAGGTACTTAAACGATTTCTTCATTAAGTGTTTTGGTTAATTCAGTGGCCAAGAAAATATGAGTCAAGAAACAAAAGACACACAGATATAATTACCAAGGCTCGAGCAGATATGACCCAGCAAAATCTGTCATTACCTCTGCTATTAGTTTCCCTTATCCCAAAAGGAAAAAAAAAAGTCTTGCTTAAGTGAACAATATTCCAAAAGCTCAGCTTCATGTGACCTAGGAATGGAGTGAGCTATCGGTAAAGCCTGGAGTGGTCCAAATAACAGATAACTTCAGTAACTGCTGGAAACAGCTGCTGGTCCCCAATCAGGCAGAATACCCAATCTTCAATGACAAGAAAGGAAACAAAGTCCAAGCTTCTAAAACACATAATGGCAAGTCCAGGAACGTGGTCGGACATAATCCAGGAATGTGGGCTACAAAGGGGAAAAGAAGAGTAGAAAACTAGTTTATTTGCGTGCAATGTGTGTATGGCTTGTGGGGGTACAGTGTTGTTGTGAGCCGTCAAGTGGTTTTTGACTTATAGCAACCCCGCGTAACAAGAGTAAAACTGCCCCATGGGATTTTCTAGGCTGTAATCTTTATGGGAGCAGATTGCCGGGTCTTTCTCCCTAAGAGCCACTGAGTAGGTTCAAACTGCCAGTCTTTCAGTTAGCAGCTGAGTGCTTAACCACTGCACCACCAGGGCTTCTTGTGGGAGGTAGGGTAGGGGGTATCAAATGTTATATATCGGGGTTTTGTTATTTTTTTTTCCATTGCTGTCAAGGCAGTCCCAACTCACGGCAACCTCATGTGTGTCAGAGTAGAATTGTGCTCCCTAGGGTTTTCAATGGCTGATTGCCAGGCCTTTCTTCCAAGGCACCTATAGGTGGACCCAAACCACCAACCTTCCTGTTAGCAGCCATTCATATCAACCATTTGTACCACCCAGGGACTCCTTATATATTGTGTTGTTGTTATTAGGTGCTGTCGAGTTAGTGCTATGTAGTTGGTTTCAACTCATGGCGACCCTATGTACAACCAAACAAAATACTGTACGGTTCTGTGCCATCTTCATAATCATTGTTATGTTTGAGCCCCTTGTTGTAGCCACATATACATACTTACATCTCTAAAATACCTCCCACCATTTCAGTGACCTTTAAGCTATAAGCAGCTAATTCAAAATGTTCAGTAATTTTATCTACAGTACAAACTTATTTAATTTAGAAGCTTTAAATGAAGCTTTTGAAATCCAATAAACCCATAATTACACAACAGCATGGACTTTTAGCCAAATTCTAAATAGGAACTCCCTCTTTCTATATCTTGCCTTTCTCTTTTAGTAGCCTAAAGTCTAAATGGTGGTAGAAGGTTACAAATGACTATATACACACAAATGACTATAGTACAAGGTCTAAGACTACTGAATTATCTAAAGGAGGAACAGATGAAGTACTGTGAAAGTTCATTAGTAGGAAAGAGAAGGGAGAGAAAAATCTGAAAGTTTCATGGAAGATGTGGCATCCAACTTGGGCTTTGAGAGGAGAATAGAATCTGACACGTGGAATCTGAGCGTAAACAGCAGCGTGATCAGAGACAATTATAGGAGTCCAGAATCAACAGCAGTTAGTTCAGACACACAAAGTGGATTAGTGGGAAATGAGGAGGGAGAGTTAGTGTTAATGTAACAAAAACAAGAGACACAGAAAGAGGAGAGTCTTCGGGAGAGAAAGTGATTAATTTGACTGTGAACATTTTCAGTTTTAGATGCCCATGAGACACACCCAGGCAGATACACCAAAAAAGGCAAAATTCTTTAAGAGAATGTATTAGGACAGGAGATTTAACTTTTGAAATCATTAACACATAGCTAAAAGTCAAACCTCTAAGGCTAAATGAGATTTATGAATGATTGCAACAAAATAAGAATCACAGGAAATGGCACCCTAGGCATATCAGTGTTACTTGGACATTTTTACAAAGATCACATTACTTTGGAAGGAAAGGGGCAAAGATATTTAGGTGGTGGAAGGGGAAAAGAAACATACACACTACTGAGAAAAATCCTGGAGAATACCTACATTTTCAGGAGACAGGAAGAAAATTAGAGAGAAGGAGCTTTTTTTTTAAAAAAAAAAAAAAAAAAGAAGGCAGTAAAAGAGAAAACGGAGCCAAAGGAGAGTTCAGTGTGAAGAAAACCAAAGAGGAAAATTTTCAAGGACAGTGCAGTAAGATCAGATAATAAACTAATGCTTTTCCTTCATACTTCCATTCCCTCAACACTAACTCATTTTAACCTCCACTATTATTCTTCTCAATATTATCCATCAACTCTCACAAAGAGGGGACGAATAGGTTACTTTTCCACTCCAGTTTGACTGAGGACTCACATTTTTCAGAGGACAATGCTGACGTGCATACCACTCTTGAGAATAAAAGCATAACAAAATTCCTTGACCCAAGAAAAGGGAAGTCCACATCATAACATTCCAAATTGGCCTTTTCCGACTATCATTGACAATGAAGTTGAAAGCCACTAAAGTTAGGAAGAAGACAAAAAAATACAGTTATCAAAACAATCAATCAGGAGATAAGAAGCCTCCGACATCTGTTGTTATCATTTAATAATCACAGTGAGCATCTACTATTCCTATATATATTTTATAACCCACTGTTTCTATAAATAAAAATGAAACCAGAATTGAAATTTATTAATCGATGATTAACAGAAAATCAGAAAGCATTCAACAGGTAAAAATATATCTCATGTAATTATTCATATTCTAACTTGCCCCTCTCAACCCACCCAAAAAATGGGTCAGTTTTCCAGGGAGAAGAGGGGAGTGTACACTGACTGTGTTTATGAATGGAGAAGTTATTTCTACAGAGAGTTTTCAAGAGGTTATCTAATTCATTTCCCTACTTCAAAGTGTAAATATTTTGAAACATAGCTGTATGTAATTGTTCAGATGGTCACTGTCTTACCCTCTGATAAACACTGGCTTGAAATGGAATCATATATAATGTACTATTTTCTACACTGATTTTATAGTTTCTTTTTGGTCTGATTGTCTCTTTTAGAATAACAGCCAGTAGTCGTGGCACGCCAAGATACTTACTTCCAAAGAACATGAAGAGCACGAAGAGCACTGGATAGAAAAAGCTCAAACAAAGAGCCAAGGCATACTCGTGCACTATGGCAGACACAGCAAAAACAGCTAACATGGCAGCAGATTTGAACCTCTTAGTGAAAAACTAAGAAAAAATGAAAATATTAAAAATTAACAAAACATGAATTATATAAGACTTATAACTGTCACATGCTAAAGTCACCTATTAATTATACTGGGTTTACAGTTTACAAGCATAAGGGCTGACACTCATTTTGCTAAAATGAAGTCTTTTCAAAAACACTAATGTTAAGCAATCTGGGCAAATTTTCAAAAATATTAAGTCGTATTTAAAAGTCACTATGGTTGACAAAACAGTTTTCACATACAAACAACACCATCAAGTCGCAATCTCTTAACACAGTTCTGTATTTACTGGTAATGAAAATAAGGCTTAGAAAGGGTAAGGGGTATGCTTTGTCTATATATGAAACTATGATTATAAATGACAGAACTAGCACTCAAATCCAGTGCTTTTTCATCACAATGTGTTGTCATTTAGCTAAATGCTGACCTTATGTAACAATTAAAAAAACACAATGCAGAGATGCCAGGGTTAATCAACCAGAAGATTTAAGATTGCATTTCATCAGTCTAAATACACTCTGCTTCAAAGAATGTCTCAAAGATATATTATGTCACTAACTGGAGAAATGTAAGTCAACACATAGGTGTTTCTCTACTTCTTTAACAAAAATTTTTCTCTACTTCTTAAAAAAAGGCCTCCATTTCTTAAAACAATAGTCAATTAAGTCTTGCTGCTTACCCAGAGAAAGTCGTTGTAAGCATAGTAATACAGCCAGTCATGGACCACCACATTCCAAGTCCTGTAATAGTTGGAGTATGATGTGGAGTTCCACCAATCCTGAAGAAAAAAGTAAAAGTATAAAACTAATTAAAAAAACTAAGAACCAAAACAAGCAAGCAAGCAAAAAAAAATGCATATTGACAAACAATACACTCATAACATAGTACCCAGAGTATGTCATGATAAACTGTTAGTCCACACGGTAATTTTAAAAAAATCTTAATAGGTGTTTTGGTTAACAGTGTTCAGTAAGATATTAATCCCAATTCTACATATTATTAAATTCTTAATTCATGTGGTCTCATTATTAAAAAAGTTATGATGGTACTCTATTAATCTCTGCCAGTAAATTTGTAATAAAAACCAGAACACATAGAATCATTTAAATATAAAGTTCATGTAAACATTAATCAGTAAAACCTCCTTACCTTGTATCATAGGGTGAGTTCTCTAGAGAAGCAAAACCAATAAAGTGTGTACATATATATATGTGCATAAACATACACATACATATATATGTATACATACACGAGTATGTATATATATACACATATACATATACATACAAGTAAACATATATAGAGAAAGAGAGAAAGATTTATCTCAAGGAAATGGCTCATGCGGTTATAAAGTCTTGCAAGTCCCAAGTTTGGGGGTCAGGAATCAGACTGAAGGCTTTTCCTGACTCACTCACACAGCTGTACGGGCTGACGAACTCAAGACTGGCAGGTGAGACAGCAGGCTGCAGAGTTCGATGAATCCCAAGAACTGGAGGTCAGGTGATGAAGAGCCGAATGCAAGATCCAGAGCAAGCGAGCTTCGCCAGGATGTCCACATATATATACATATATATACAGGATGCACACCACACCACCAAGGAAACTTCCCTTACAACTGACTGCCTAGTCACATCAGATCTCATCATAAAGGATGGCTACATCTTTACAAAACTGCCAAACTACATCATTATATAACTGACAATTACTTTATTACATAAATGCCAAACCACTGAGACTCATGGCCTAGCCAAATTGACAATCTTAACCTTAACCATCACAGTCCACCCACTCGTCAACCTGGTGCCTGTACACATCTCCTTAAATCACACAATCTCGAAATAAAGACAATTACAAGTTATACTTGTGTCAACATGATACAACTTACATACAACTGAAAACACACTAGCCCTGTTTACATCTTATATTTTATAAGAAAACAAAAATATTTGACGCACACGTGAAAGGAAGAAATGCTGTTGTTGTTAGATATCGCCAAGTCAATTCCGACTAACAGCGACCCTATGTACAACAGAAAGAAACACTGCAGAGTCCAGTGCCATTCTCATAATCATTGCTATACTTGAGCCCATTGTTGCAGCCACTGTGTCAATCCACCTCACTGAGGGTCTTCCTCTCTTTTGCTGACACTCTGCGAAGCATGATGTCCTTCTCCAGGGACTGGTCCCTTCTGGCTGTACTTCTTCCAAGACAGATTTGTTTGTTCTTCTGGGAATCTATGGTATACTCAATATTCTTCACCAACACCATAAGAAATACTCATAACAATTACAGTCCTCCTTTCTGCAACTTGTCACATGGTCATAACTGGTACTTAGAACTACCTTCTTCTACCACCTATTCCATATTCGCTTTACCCTCAGCATGCACCTCAGCTAGTCGTAGTTTGTTGCCTGGTGGCAGGACACAAAGCTTCATTCCTGAAGGGTCTGGGCCATACTAGTCATGTGGGAATTGGGTTGCTGTAGTTTTCCATTGCCTTTAATCACAGGGCATGGTAGTACTAAGAGATGCCCTAAGGGATTTCCTGTATTCCATGCATAATCTTTTTTTCACCTCCATTATGCAATGTTGTTGTTAGGTGCCATCGAGTCAGTTCTGACTCATAGTGACCCCATGTACGACAGAACGAAACACTGCCCAGTCCTGCGCCCCTCACAATCGTTATGCTTGAGCCCATTATTGCAGCCACTATGTCAATCCATCTTGTTGACAAAGTCTTCCTCTTCTTAGATGATGCTCTACTTTACCAAACACAATGTCCTTCTCCAGGGACTGAGCCCTCCTGATAACATCTCCAAAGTATGTGAGATATAATCTCACCATCCTTGCTTCTAAGGAGCATTCATTATGCAATATCAACCTGATTTTCTCTTGGTAGTCAGATTCAATCACACCAGCCACTACGGTAACTCTCATCTTTGCCTGGTGATCCACAGGCATGAGGAGCAAAGTGGCCGGGTGGCATTCTTAATCTCCAATTCAAAGGAATCCCTGTTTTGTCTCCAGGTGGGAGCATTCCTCCCTTTGGAACTAAGATGTCTAGGACCGCAGAGCATGGGGTCATGGGGAAAGGAAACAAAAATTTTGGTTCATTAGAGTTAATAGTGAGCAGTGCCACTCCCATCTTCACCCTTTGATTTCTGAAACTGTGAATCCTGCCTATGAGAAAAACAGCACCACATATTGGGTGCTGGTTTAGTGCATACACAGCCTCCTAGAGAACAATGCTCCAACCCTGCATAGTGTTGCCACCTAGCTGGCACCATAACTGTGTCTTTAGAAGACCATACCATCATTCTATCAAGCCAGCTGCTTCAGGATGACAGAGAACATGATAAGACCAGAGAACTCCATGAGCATGGGCCTACTGCCAAACTTCATTTGCTGTGAAGTGAGTCCCTTGATCAGAGGCAATTCTGTGTGGGATACCATGATGGTGGATAAGGCATTCTGTGACTACACAGGTGGTAGTTTTGGAAGAGAACAGCATGCAGGGAAGGCAAATCCATATCCAAAGTGTCTATCCCATTAATAATGAAACGCAGCCCTTTCCATGATGGAAGTGGTCCAATGTAATCAATCTGTCACCAGCTTCCTGGCTGATCGCCTCAGGAAATGGTGCCATATTGGGGACTCGTTGTTGGTCTCAGCTGCTGGCAGATTGGGCGTTCAGCAGTGGCTGTAGCCAAGTCAGCCTTGGTGAGTGGAAGTCCATGCTCCTGAACCCATGGATAATCTCCTTCCCTGCCACCATGGCCACTTGGTTCATGAGCCCACTGGACAATGACAGAAGTGGCTGGGAAAAGAGGATGACTAGATTCCACAGAATGTGTCATTCTATTCACTTGACTGATAAAATCTTACACTACCAAGGATACCCTTTGGTAAGCATTCACATGAGACACAAATATTTTCACTGTTTTTGGCCCATTCAGAGAGGTCTATCCACATACCTCTTCACCAAACCTCCTTACTACGTATTTTCCAATCATGTTCCTCCCATGTCCCTGACCATATGGCCAAACCACTGGCCACAACCCATGAAGCAGTATACAATCGCACATCCGGACATTCTCCTCCCAAGCAGAGTGAATAACTAGGACACTGCTAGAAGTTCTTCCCCTTGGGAGGATTTCCCTTCACCAGTGTCCTTCAGGGAGGTTCCAGAAAGTGGCTGCAGTGCTGCTGCTGTCCACTTTTGAGTGCTGCCTGCTTATTGCCCAGAACCTTCTGTAAACCAGGCTTGAGTCTTCTCTTCCTTAGTCAATTCATCATAAGGAACACCCTATGAAGCCACAGGTGCAGGCTGGGTGAGAGAAGACAGTTTGATGGAAGTGGAGACCATGGGCATTTGGGCCACTTCCTCATGTAACTTACTTGTGCCTTCCGGTCCTGCTCGAGCCCAATCTCGTATATAACACTTCTATTTAATGATGGTGTGCTGCTGTGCACGTCCAACTTTATGACTCTTTGGGTCAGACAACACCCAGTTCATGATGGGTAGCTCAGGCTGCATGCTGACTTGGCAATCTATGGTTAAGCGTTCAGTCTCTGCTAAGGCCCAGCAACAGGCAAAAGCTGTTTCTCAAAAGGTGTATAGTTATCTGCAGAGGATGGCAGGGCTTTGCTCCAAAATCCTAAGGGTCTGCACTGTGATTCACCAATAGGGACCTGCCCAAGGTTCCGAACAGCATCTCTATCTGCCATTAACACTTCAGCACCGCTGGATCAGCTGGATCATATGGCCCAAGTGACAGAGCAGTTTCCACAGCAGCCTGAACCTGTTGCAGAGCCTTCTCTTCTTCTGGGCCTGACTCAAAACTAACAGCTTTTCGAGTCACTTGATAAACAGGCCAGAGCAGCACACCCAAACGAGGAGTATGTTGCCTCCAGGATCCAAAGAGGCTCTCCAGGTGTTATATCTCCTTTTTAGTTGTAGGAGGGGTCAGATGTAACAACTTATCCTTCACTTTAGAAGGAATATCTCAACATGCACCAAACCACTGGACTCCTAGAAATTTCACTGAGGTGGAAGGTGCCTGAATTTTTGCCAGACTGATTTCCCACCCTCTAGCACACAAACGTTTTACCAGTAAGTCTAGAGTCATTGACACTTCTTCCTTACTAAGTCCAGTCAGCATAATGTCATCAATGTAACAGACCAGTGTGACATCTTTTGGAAGGGAAAGGCAATCAAGTTCCCTGCAGACAAAATTATGACACAGGGCTGGAGAGCTGATATACACCTGAGGTAGGCAAGTGAAGGTGTATTTCTGGCCTTGCCAGCTGAAGGCAAACAGCTTCTGGTGTTCCATCAATACCAGAACCGAGAAAAAGGCATCAGCCAGAGCAACAGTTGCATACTAGTTACCAGCAGATGTATTAATTTGCTCAAGCAATGAAACCATATCTGGAATAGCAGCTGCAACTACAGAACACCACCTGGGTAAATTTACAATAATCCACCATCATTCTCCAAGATTCATCTGTTTTTTGCACAGGCCAAATAGGTGAGCTGAATGGGGATGTGGTGGGAATTACCACCCCCGCATCCTTCAACTCCTTAATGGTGGCAGTAATCCCTGTAATCCTTCCAGGAATGTGGTATTGCTTTTGATTTACTATTTTCCTAGGTAGGGGCAGTTCTAATGGCTTCCACTTAGCTTTTCCTACCATAATAGCCCTTACTCCACTTGTCAGGGATCCAATGTGGGGGTTCTACCAGTTGCGGAGTGTATCTACTCTAATTATGTATTCGGGAACTGGCAAAAATCACTACAGGATGGGTTCGGGGACCCACTGGACCTACTGTGAGACAAACCTGAGCTAAGAGCCCATCAATAACCTGACCTCTATACACCTTCACTGACTGGTGGCCACAGCGACATATTGGGTCTCCTGGAATTAGTGTCAGTTCAGAGTCAGTATCCAGTAATCCCTGAAAAATCTGATTTTTTCCTTTTCCCCTTGTAAAAGGGAATATACCCCTTTGGGGAAGGCTGAGAGGAAGATTAACAGTATATATTTTTGGCAGTGTACTCAGGTCCTTCCTCAAGAGGACCTGGCCTCCCGTTCATTCAAGGGGTTGTGGGTCTGCAAACTGGCTCAAGTCTGGGAAGTGACTGAGGCGCCATGACTCTATTCTGGCAACTCAAGTTAGACTGTCATTTGCTTGACCTAGAATTCTTCCACTTGCACAGAGAAAGTAAATATTTAGTAGATTTCCCATCTATTTCACTCCTAAGGACACCATGTCTAAGTAGCCAACGCCATAAGTCCATATGAGTCAGGCTATTCTGATTACTGCTTTGATTCCGTTGTCCATTATGGTAACCATGCCCACCTTCTCTTTGCTGATTAAGTGCTGCCACTTGGCCTCTACCACCATGGCATGGTGTCCAATCAGCCCCACTGCAGTTAGGCGTCTTAATTCAGTTAAGGCAGTTCCACTGTCAAATCTGACTTACATAAAATAGCAATCACAGCAGTCTTCAAGGATGCTGGGGCTCCATTCACAAATTTGTTCCTCACCATTGTGGTAAAAGTTGTGTCCTATGGTCACACTCCATGTGTGGGTCTGTGGATCTAACCTGATAAACCTACTCTAACATGCCAAGTTCCCTAAGCCTTTTGATACCGTCTTTTACAGTATACCAAGGCAGGTCTGGTACTTCAACTTGATTTAGTATAGGTCACCAAACAATCCATGCTTCAGTAAACCAACCAAATAAACTAATCTCTCGAGCTGAAACGCTGAATGAAGAATCTGTGCTTAGTGGGCCCATATCAATAAACTCAGACTGATCCAACTTTATGTTCCTTGCACCATTATCCAACACCCTTAATAGCCATTCCCACATATATTACCCAGGTATCTGTTTACACATATTAGAAAAGTCAACCAGTTCTTCTGGAGTGTAGTGTACCTCCTCTTGGGTCACACTTTGTGCGGCTCGCTGGGACTTAAGTCTAGTTATAGGTCTAGAAGCAAAAATGGGTTGTAGGGGTGGGCCCTGGGAACATACAGCATTGTCTTGTAAGGCATCCACCCTCAGAAGATGCCCCAGGCAATACTCCAGGCACTGCCTCAGGTAATATCTCAGACAAAGCTCTTCAGGCACAGCTGGGTTAAACTCATCTAATAAGGGTAGAGGAGCTAAAGGTTTTACTAGGAAGGGTGGATTAGCAGACAAAGATGGAGTAAACTCTTCAGATGGGAGAAAGTGGGCTGGTTCTGTTGGCAGGAGTGATTCAATGGCATGTAGGGGCTCAGTGTCCCCAGCCTCCTGATTATCTGCCCATATGTTCCCATGCCAAGTTTCAAGATCCTATTTCTTCCCAATCAATACCCTACTTTAACTTCAGACACCATCTGAGGTTGGGAATTCAATTGGTATTATAATTCAGTCACTCTTATAAGACTTTGAGTTTGGTTTTTGGCAATATCAGCTCCATTACTACAAGAGATAAGGCTTTCTTTCAGGGCACAAGTGACCACTTTGAGGTTTTTTTGCAGCCCTTGAGCTGTAACTCTGAAGATCTAAGCTCATCTCTATTTTACTACTTTGCCTATCGAAAGTAGGACTAACCAACCAGCTTCTTTATACTTCTCATTCTGACACACCTGTAGAAAAGTATCAAACATGTGATCACCTAGAGTCTCTCTTCTGACCAATACTTGATGTACTGGTGATGATAATTTGCATATTAATACTGCCACCTCACGCCATGGATTAGCAGCACCCTCTTTACTGCTGGAGGCAGTGTCATCAGAGCCTTTAAGACTAGTCAGACTTGAGAACCAATTTAGAAAACTCATCGTTATGATTTTGTTTCTCTAGACACATTCTTGGTACCAAACGTCTTAGGCTGGGCTCTCTAGAGAAGCAGAACCAACGAAGCATGTATCTTGAGAGAGAAATTTATCTCAAGAAAATGGCTCACGTGTTCGTAGAGGCTGGCAAGTCCCAAGTCTGTGGGCTTCTCCTGACTCACGTAGCTGCAGGGGCCGATGAATTCAAGATCAGCAGGTAAGACAGCAGGCTGCTGGCTCACAGGCTGCAGAGGCCAATGAATCCCAAGAACCAGCAGTCAGATGATGACGAGCTGGATGCAGGATCCAGAGTAAGCAAGTGAGCTTTGCCAGAACATCCACATATATACACTGGATGCAGGCCACACCCCCTAAAAAACTCACTCTACAACTGTTTAGCTGATCACATCATGGAGGATGACTACATCATGACATAACCGCCAAACTACTGAGAATGCTGGCCTAGCCAATTTGACACAACCTTAACCATCACACCTTGCTAAAAATAATGAGATTTCTAAAGGCCATGTAGACTAGATAGAATGCTAACACAAATAGTAGTTTGGTACACCAGTGTTCACTGAAGCACTACTCACGACAGTCAAAAGGTGGAAACAACCTGAACATCCAGCAATGGATTAATGGATAAACAAAATTGGTAAATACATACAATGGAGTACTACTCAGCCATAAAGAGAAAAGAAGTCCTGATCCTTGCTATAATACGGATGAATCCTGAAAACATTATGTTCAGTGGAGTAAGTCAATCACAAAAGGACAAATACTGAATGATCTCACTTATATAAAATAATAAGAACAGGCAAATGCTTACTAGTGGTTACACAGGGGCAGGAGGCAGAGGGAAAGGGGAAGTCATTGCTTAGGAAGCAGTGAGTGTCTGTTTATGGTGATGGTAAATTTGGCAATGATCATGGGTGATGGTTGGACAAAATGATTAACATAATTGGTATCACCAAACTGTACATCTAAAAAATGTTAACTGTGGTCACTCCTACAAAACCAGTCAATTTCAAAGGTATGAACAGTCAGAGAAGTCACGTGATGTGCTGTCAAAAAGTGTTTTCCTACTTTAATTATCAATATGTCCTCAGAGGATGCAGCAAAAAACATTTTCTGTATAAGGGTGAAAGAAAAGAGAGGCTACGCTAATTAATCTATTTCAGAATTTCAGACAATATCAGTAAAACTGGAATGGAAAAATATTTCACGTTTTGTTAAAAAGCTGGTAATATTAGCCAACAGCATCAAAATGCTTAGCAATGAGGAAATAAATAAAAAACAATGTAAAAAGAAAGATCAGCCCAAGTATATATTACCTTATAAAACATCCTGTCACCAAAGCGTAACATCTCAGCAAAGGCATTGAGCCAGCAATGCAAAACAGCAAAAAAAGTAAGGAGCAGAATCAGCACACCTAAAAATAAGGTTAACAGTATTAAGAGTCTCCAGTAGCTCACATACCAAGGAGTTAATTATATGTTGTCATTTGCTTATCTGGAATTATTTTGTAAAATAAAAGTTATTATTCTTCTTTACCCATTCCAGAGATAGCACAGTGCTCTTTAGAATGTTACTGCTTTAATTTTATAAAAGAATAATTTCCAATTGGGTTTTATAGACAAAAAATAACCTAGCTTGTTTTTAACAGAAAACCTTAGACATATGGCTTAACTTGGTACACAAGACCCTTTAAAAATCTGGTACCGATACATCCCTCTAAACCAGTTGTTTTCAACTGGGGGAGATTTTGCCCCCAGTGGATATTTGGCAATTCTAGAGACATTTTTAGTTGCCACGACTGGGAGTGGGGGTGGAGCCACTGGTATCTAATGGGTAGAGGCCAGAATGCTACTAACCATCCTATAATGCACAGGACAATCCCCCAAAACAAAGAATTATCTGGCTCAAAATATTAATAGTGATGAGGCTGACAAACTCTGGCCTAAACTTATCTCGGACAACTCTACCTCCAGAGTTGTAAACATCATCTATAAAAAGACTTCCAGCATTCCAAAATATTCCATGCCTTTGCATCCATCCCATTACCTGGAAGGACTCTTCCACAGTTTCTCTGCCAGGAAAACACCTATTTTTTAAAGACCCAATGTTAAATGTCATCACTAATATGAAATACAGTCCCTAAGTGTTTTGTTTATCCTACTTGTGTATTATATACTACACTACGTTGTAAAATATCCACCTACATGTGTACCTCTTTCCTTCATTTGTTTATTTAAAAAATACTTATAGAGCATCTATTGCATAACAGACACTATAGTAGGGATTGCTACTGGCTATAAGATACAATACTTGCTCTCAAGGAATTTGTAGCCTAGTTAGGAAGACACATAAATATGTGACAGATATCCCATTCCAGAGACAGATACAGAGCCTACTGGAGTTAAGTCTCTCAGCAGACAGGAAGGGTTACCCGGAAGAAGTCTAGGGGACAGGGAAGAGAGAAGGTGATGGCAGAAAAATCAGCAATATTCAATGAGTAAAGACAATGAGTAAGTGAAGGAAAATGTAAGTATAATTAAACTGTTAAGTTCTCAGAAGGTAAAGATTAAGTATATCTTGGTCACTGCTGTATCCTCAGCACTTGGCACATAGCGGGCACTCATATATCTCTAGAAAAAAATAAGTGGAATGAATGCAGTTAGGGTGCTGAGGTATGGCCAAAGAGACTGGGGGAAAATACGTAATAGTGGCAGAAGAGATTTAAAAAAGCAAGTGGTCAACAGCATCCAGTGCTTCATGAAGTCAAAAAAGGATAAGGGCTAAACCATTTACTGGATTTAGAATCCAAGAGGTTATTAATGATTTTAACAAAGGCCACTTTAGTGGCCTGAAGGGATTAGAAGCAAGAAAATAAGGAACTCAACCTGAAGAGAAAGCATAAATATGGACTGTCCACACTCCGGAGAAAGCAAAACTTAAATGAAATCCCGAAGATAAATGAAAGAACTGGCCTGAGACTAGAAGGATGACACCTTATTTTTGAGATAAATGGAAAACAGATCAAGACAGGTATAAACGTGCAGATGAGTTTATGAGGGAAGAGGAAGTAAATCAAATGTACTCGTACTCAAAAGCTTTTTATTTTCCTTGAGAATGTATGAATGACCAAATTAACCAGTACCCATGTTACCTGGCAAGATGGAGTTAAACACACACAGGACCAGGACACGAGCGCTGAAGGGCTCCTGTCTGATGTTCCGAAACAAGGGGGCACAGAGCCTTTCAAAGATGTAGTATACATAAAAAAGGCAACCAAAAATCTGGAATGTAACAAAGATATAATTATAATAATGGTGGCTTGATAAGGAAAAATTCAGGGTGATATTTTTTTCTCCAAAGGAAAGTACATTTTTTTTCTCCCAAAGAAAGTAATGGTTATGTATATATTCCATTTAACCCTAGTATATAAGATTGCCGAGGTCCCTGGGTAATGCAAGCAGTTTGCATTCAACTAACTACCAAGCAAAAGGTTGACGATTCATATCCACCCAGCAATGTTCCAGAGAAAGCCCTGGTGATATGCTTCTGTAAAGATTATGGCCAAGAAATGCCTATGGAGCAGTTCTACTCTGTAACACATGGGGTTGCTATGAGTCAAAAACGACTTGATGGCAAGGGGTTTGGTTTTGGTATATAAGATTGCCAAAACATAATCCTTCAGAGGTATTACTCAAGCTAGTCTTCACCATGTCCTTTTCTAACCCTTTACACCAAATGACATTAAAAAAAAAATTAAGACTCTTTTAGAATTTGTTTTTCCTGCTATATGAAACCCACAACAAAAGGACTTATTTCATAAATGATATTTGATTTAGGCAAGAATATGAAATGGGATCTTATGGGATTTTTGATTCTGATTGGGAGCGATGAGAGAGCCCAAACCACACCCACTTCACATACACAAACATACAAATCGGGGGGTGGGTGTTATGCTGAAGAAACCAAATGGAATTACTGTAACTTAAAATAATACTTTTTGTCTAACTTAAGAAAATTACTTTTGGTATTAGTGAAAATAAACACCATTTACAGTACTGGGAATAGTTTAAAAGACTCACTGTCTCATTGAAAAGATTTCTATAGCGCCCAGTAGGCAAAAATTTACCAACACTTAAAATGGATTAAATTATTATTATAAATAGTAATTCCTGTCTCCCACCAATCAACACACATCAGGTATTAGGCAGTTAAAAAAAAATGTACCTGTGCAAACTGTGTAGCAACATAACCCCATCTTATAGTAGGAGTCCTAAAAAGGAAGAACGAAACAAGTTTTCTAAATAGAGTAAATAATTGAACTTTAATAAATACCTTCACAATTAATAGCCTCCACATAGAACATTGTTTATGGCCATATGAAGTACCTAAATAATTCTGTGACAGCCTACAGACTGGGAAAAAAATTTTGGCACCGACATATCTAACAAGGGTCTAATTGCTAAAATATATAGAAAATTTCAACACCTCAACAACAAAAAGACAAATAATTCAAGGACATGAACAGACACTTCAACAAAGAAGACATTCCAGGCAACTAACGAACACATGAAGAGATGCTCGCGATCATTAGCCATAACCGACCAAACCAAACCATTGCTGTTGAGTCAATTACAACTCACAGTGACCCTACAGGACAGAGTAGAATTGCCCCACAGGGTTTCCAAGGAGTGGCTGGTGGACTGGAACTACCAATTTTTTGGTTAGCAGCCAAGCTCTTTAACCACAGTGCCAACAGGGCCATTAGAGAGATGCAAATCAAAACTACAATGAGATACTATATCACCCATGAAAAAAAATGGCACTTATCAAAAAAAAAAAAACCCAGAAAACAACAGACGATGAAGAGGTTGTGGGGAGACTGGAACTCTTATACACTGCTGGTGGGACTGTAAAATGGTACAACCATTATGGAAAATGGCACGGTCCTGCCTCAAAAAGCTAGAAACAGAAATACCATTATGATCCAGCAATCCCACTCAAAGGTATGTTATCATAGAGAAATAAGAGCAGCAACAGGAATAAACATATGCACATCCATGTTCGTTGTAGCATTATTCACAATAGCAAAAAGATGGAAACAACCTAAGTGTCTATCAACGGATGAATGGATAAACAAAATGTGGTACATACATACAATGGAATACTACACAACGATAAAGAATAATGAGTCTACCAAACATAACACGGATGAAACTGGAGGGCATTATTCTGAGTAAAACAGGTCAGTCACAAAAGGACAAATATTATATGATACCACTTTTATAAAAAGTCAAGAATAGGCTTACACACAGAAAGCAATGTTCTTTGATGGTTACCAGGGATGGGAGAGGGAGGGAGGGAGAATCACTCACTATATAGTAGACACGTATTAATTCTGGTGAAGGGAAAGGCAATACACAATATGGGGGAAGTCAGCACAACGTGACCAAGGAAAATGAAGATGCTGAGAGGTACACAAGAATAAAGGACAACTATAGTAAATGCTGTAACATATATAGTTCTGCAACAGTAATAACAACCAAAAATTTGTGAGTGGTTACATAAGTAGATATGTACACTCCATAGGTGTGGGAGAGTGTATGGGAGTACATGCATGTGCACATTTAGGTATAGTTGTGGGCATTTGTATATACATATTTGTACATGCTATATATATATATATTCATATATATAATAGAGCACACAGAGGGCACAGTTATGGAAGCTTCCTACAGACATATCCAAATAACTCATGGGACTGAGTTACTGGGTTTGAAGGCTAAGGACCATAGTCTTGGGGGATATCTAGGTCAACTGGCATAACATAGTTCATAAAGATAATGTTCTACATCCTACTTTGGTGAGGAGCGTCTGGGGTCTTAAAACCTTGTGAGCAGCTATCTAAGATACAACTATCGGTCTCCTCCAGTCTGGAGCAAAGGAAAGTGAAGGAAACCAAAGACTCAAAGAAACAATTAGTCCACAGGACTAATGGCCCACACAAACCACAGCCTCCTCTAGCCTGAGACCAGAAGAACTAGATGGTACCCAGCTACCACTAACAACCACACTGACCAGCGACACAATAGAAGGTCCCTGTTAGAATGGGAGAAAATGTAGAAAAAAACTCAAATTGATAAAAAAGATTAAGAAGACTGATAGAGACTGGAGGAACCCCCGAAACTACTGTTCTAAGATATCCTTTTAATCTGGAACTAAAGCCACTCCCGGAGGTCATCTTTCAGCCAAATAACAGATTAGCCAATAAATTAAACAAATAACACCCATGAGTAATGTGCTCTTTAGAACAATCAACTATATGGGACTAAACCGGCAATACTTGCCCAAAAGTGAAGATGAGACAGCAAGGAGGGGCAAGGATACTGGATGGTTGGAAACAGGGAAGGAGAGGTGGAAACGGGGAGAGTGCTGACACACTGCAGGGATAGCAACCAATGTTACACAGAACAATTTCTGAATGAACTGTTGAATGGGAAACTAATATGCTATGTAAACTGTCACCTAAAACACAATAAAATATTTAAAAAAAAAATTATTGTATCAAATCAGACTGCTAGAATCACTATCTAGAGATTCCCATTCCAGACAGAAAATTAAAACTCATTCTATATTCTATGTAGAGCCCTCCATAAACTTGCCCCTGCCAGTCTCACTCATGCCACACTTCTGGTGCTCACCGCATTTCTACTTCATAGTGCCATTACCTGGGATAGCTGTCACGGTAGATCAGGGTAGGAGCAAACAAGAAGTACAAGTACTGGCTGACTCTGGGTATTGGTACAGTGCCTGGAAAAGGAAAATTATGCTTAGATAGAGGCTTTCTGATTATCTCCCAGTAAATCTAAAAGGGAAAATAAGGAGGCATACAACAGACAAGAGTAAGACTCCTTCCCTTTACTCCTGACGTCCTAAAATGACTTCCTGGTATTCTTGTATTAACTATACCAATCCCTCTAAACTAAGTTATTTCTATGACTTCGATAACTAAGTGTTGAAGCGACACTTCGGGAAAAAAAAAGGTAAGCACTCATGGGTGTAAACAAGGCTATTAACATTCCTTAAAAATAATGCTAAGTCATAAGAGTCAAATGATTAATTTTCAAAACTGTATTACAAAGGCAAAACATGAATAATTAGGAAACAATGAGTCTTTCAAATAAATATAGATCGTATACTTAAAATCAAACATTAATCTCTACAGAATGTAGTAATGTGCCATCCCAGTAAACTCCAAATGATGAAATACCCTATCAAGAATCCTTTGACTGAATGAAATTACATACTTGATTTCTCCTTAGCTGAGTCTAGCACCCGAGGTACATTCTCTCTGATAAATGAATGAGCCTTCATAACAAAACGAATCTACAAAAGGAGGTAAACAATAATAACAATAAGATGACTTTTCTATCTTGTCTCTTATCTGCAACTTACAACAGAACTAGATCATACTCACTCAAAAGAACTTAATTTTGCACACACTAACCCAAGTTCACTCTTACAGAATAAAACAAATAAAAAAAACTTAAAAGAAGGACAAGTTGTTACTCTAAAATTATTTTCCAACTAACAGTATATGTTACAGTATATTACAAATTAAATTAAAAATCTGTTTAAATAAAGTCTGCCGAAATGGTCCTTTCCCTTAGTCAAACAAAGATTGAACCCTTCTCTATAAGGTATTTTGACATCATATGTGGTCATATTTGAGCTTTGATTATTTGAAATTAGTTTTTTAAAATACTGCTCTTCACTTTTCTTCTATTTTACTAGTTCAGGGAATCTTATGCAAACACTCAAAATGTTAATTTAATTTCATTTAAAAAAAATATAAGTTTTTAAGACTGTTGACTAGCATTATAAAAAGCCTGTAAGTCAGAAAATTCTGAAGAGTGTAGAATAAATTAAAATATATCTTTTATTTACATGGAAATTATTTTATGATAAAACAATGATTTGACATATCAAAAGTAGTTTTTATTTATATAAATATTTTTACAATTTAGATGACTTTAATAAAAACTGTTCAAGAAAAAAATTTTAATTTATCCAGAACAGTTCAGTATACTTTCTTAAGATGTGAGATAGTCTACTTTAACATTTTAGTTCTACAGTTAATGAAACAACAAACCAGATACGACAATTTATCCAAGTTAATACAGGTAAAAATAACAGAATATTTATGTTGTTGTTGTTATCTTAACTAAGCATAACATTGCTTTGGACAACACTCAAAACCTTACCTGTTCAAGTATAACAATGAACCGAGAAGCTGGTGGCAGTGTATATGCTAATACAACATACGTTGGTCCAAAACCTAAACCTCCAATCTGGAAGAACATGAAAAGTGAGCCACAGACGAGAGAACGGAGCACTGGGTGGGAACTCTTTCTGTATCCACTGGCCCAATGTTGAAAGAGGAAATAGGGAATTAAAAGTGTAGACAGGAACATGGTTGACCAGGTCCAAATAACAACAGAAAATTTGCCAAAAGCATAAGACAGGAGACTGAACTCAAGCACCAGCCTGGGGAAAAAAAAGCAGAGACAAACAACATAGAAGTGAATTTTTGATATGACTCAGTTCATAGACCCAAAACTTCTAACCTTAGGAAACATCATAACATTAAGTCCTAGATGTTATGGTGCTGCTAGATAGAGACTCGTTATTAACTCGTAAGGTCTAGCCTTCTGCTTCACAATACATCTCAACAACAAATTTTCCTAAAAGCCCTAAGACAATATGCTCAAAGACTTTCAACTTCTCAAAGATTTGATGCTCACATTAATTAAATTCTTTAAATTCTATAAAATAATCTATATAAAATTAACACTGAAAGTATTTAAATAGCAACCACTTTTATGTATGAAAGCTGATTTTTTTAAAGAAGGAAATAGGTATAAGAGTCAAAAATGTATTAATATACAATTACACCATTATCTCAAATTTTAATTTTCTAACAAAGTACTTAATCTATGCATGGACTGTCTTTTTTAAAGTAACAATCTGATTTTTACATTAAAAGAATTAAACATCACGTTTTCCAAACCTTAAACTCCAGTAAGCTATTTTTAATAACTTAATGTATCCTGTAATAGAAAAAGTGATAAATCATATGTACAAAATTCTCCCATTTGGAAAAATTACCTAGAAACTACTGTTAAAATAGACCATTTAAAAAAATAAAAGTAATGAAACTTCTAATTTTCATTTTGGTTATACTTTTCAGGGGAGAGGAATATCACACTTCAATCAGCTGGAGCAAATTTAATCAAATTACAATTTAATAAACTTTAAATAGACAGTGAAAATCCCATCATCTCTCACATCAACTAACCAAACACCATTTTTGTTGTCTTACCTCCCTTCATCAATGTAATCTACTACCAGCGTGCTGAGGATAAAGATAATAAGTAGGGCAATAAACATGTGATATATTGTTCTGATGTGGTCCACCTCAAACAGCTCACTGTAAATGTAGTTCAAAAGAATAAAATTAATAATCTATATTTAACAGAAAAATGTTAAAAGACTTTTCTTTAAAGCAGTTCAGAAGATGCTTACTCTTCCCCTCAAAAAAAATCTCAAAAACAGTAATTACACAACTTTATACATTAAACCTTCAGTACACAGACACTAAATGACATGACCAAGATAAAAAAAATTTCCAAGAAAATGTCTCTTAGAATACAACATGGATACCAAGCTTTTATATTAACTGATGATCTGCATTCTTAAGAACCTACCAGGAAGGATTGTTTTCTAGGTAAGCAAAAAGGCCACTGAAAGCAAGAAACAGAGAAACGATTTCAAATGCTAAAAAGACTTTAAAAAAACACAATGCTTACATTCTATCCCCTACACTAAATTCAACTTATATTAAACCCGTTGCTGTCGAGTCAATTCTGACTCATAGCAACCCCATAGGACAGAGCATAGGGTTTCCAAGGAAAGGTTGGTGGATTTGAACTGCCGACCTTTTGGTTAGCAGTTGAGTTCTTAACCACTGCGCCACAAGGCTCATTAATGTATATTAGGTACTATCTATTTCCAAGATGTCAAGATTGACATGAGTTTCTATAATGATGATAATCATCTATAAAGGCTAACTATTTACAAATTATTTTTTACTCTATCCTTACTGACCTTTGTATTTAAAACTGGGTTACTCTTCTTTCAGAATATAGCAATGACTTTCCCTAAATAAATACCTTTTGAATCTAACTAAAACAATTTCTTAATCCTGTATTTTATAAAGATGTATGCCAACTTTCTAAGTGACTTTTTAGGGAAGCTAAAATACTATTACATCTTCGAATTCTAATAAAAACACATCTGAGCTACAGAAAACGTATCCTATTTCCTTGGTTAATTTTTTTTTAATTAAAGTATGATTTTAATTTTTCTTGGTACAATTTGGTTTTTGTACAATTCTATCATTAAAATCTTAATTATAATAAACAAAATTGCTTTATTTTCCCTTTTCTGTGAAAAGCCTTACTGATTTTTCCCCCAGATACAAATTGAAATCTCTTCAAACAGTGTGGCAAAACACTGAAATGGAATTTTACATTACATGTTTAGAAAACTTAGGCCCTCTCATGAAGGTTAAGTAGTACACATCAATTTGGTTCATAGAAAGTAAATTCTAGTAAACATAAGATACATTTTGAAAGAAGAGCACATTAAGACACTGAAGAAAACTTTTCACCAATCCAACTTATTTCAGATGGCCTATTCTAATGAAGGTTTAAATTTCAGTAGTAACCAAATGAATAAATGAATGAGTAAATAACATAAATGATCTACTCAAGACAGCATAAAGAATTATTCATCATCTACTGAAAGTGCACCTTTAATTTTCAATTCACAAATGATGTGCTCACAAATTTATATTTCCTAATATTATTTTCATAAATCCATACAATCAGAGTTCTTAATTAAGTATCTTGGAAAACTAACATGTCTCTAAACTGGCCAAAGAAGAGATGGGGGGGGGAACCCTACATACCAAGGAAACAGCCACTCCAAAACTCTCTTGAAGTGTTTTACTCAATTACAAAACTTGTGTTCTAGATCTTTGGGTAATCAGATTTTTGTGGCACAACTTGAATTTAAAAGATGACAGATAATCTTACAAGTAACCCCTCCTTTGAAACTAGATATAGTACCAGATGATCAGAAAGAATGAACAAGAGACAACAAATGTACAAGAACTATCAAAACTTTATGTTAAAACAGAACAAACTCACTAAACATTGAAAGATTAAGCAGTAATTCTAATAAGGGTAGTGGTTTTTTGTTTTTTTAATTCAAACTAAAAATGAAAAAAAGCAACTAAAAGTACTCACTCTAAGAGAGATCGCCTCATAATAAAAAGCTTTCCTTTTTCTGGTGGTGCCCTCAGATCTCTGGGAAGAGCAAAAAGTAAGACAAAACATAAATACTTCAAGTATTATAAGAGATTTATAAGAGAAAGAGTAATACGAACTTCAGCATTTACATTAACTCTCTTCTCCAGGTACTCTGTGTTAAGGGTTTTATGAACAGTACTAGGAGGTAGGTACATGCATACCTGTTTAGGAGGGATGAGGTATTAGGAATACCTGACTGAAGTGGCACTCAAAGGGTCCCCAGAGCTCAGCACTCCTCGCTTCACACACTGGCAACCACTCTTCCTTCTCCTAATCATCCTGAGATCATGACATGCCTCCAGCCATACTTTATGCCAGTTCATATATTATTAGTAGTCTGTCTGTTAAAACTGCACTGATGTTTATGATACCTTTCATAAAATCAAAGGACTTCTAAAATCTCCAACTGCCTCCTGATCTTAACCACTAGGTTGCCTCCAGTTACTGAAAACTTGCATTTTAACATCTAGTATGATTGTCTACTTTGGGGGCTTTCTGCAGTACTGCTGGCACTCTCACTTGCACATTTGTGTCAGCTATTACTGGTCAAAAGTGTTCTCCAGAACACGAGAGACTGGTGGAGAGACCAAGAGGCATGAAACTGAGGGAAGCAGACAACGGCAAAGTGGCACATGTTAGCCTTTAACAGCCTTCTGTACACTGCTCTGGATGACTGACCAATGAAAAAATACCTAACAATCACACTGTACTTTATTTCAAGTATTGCAGAGAGTACAATAAAAAGGCAGCATAATGACGTGGGTAAAAGCATGGACTCCTTACCAGACTGGTGTGTGAGACTTTGGACAACATTAAACAGCTCTGTGCCTCAGTTTCCTAATTTGCAATACTCAAATATTATAGTACCTATCTCACAGGGTCATCATTTGGTTTCAATGAGTTAACCCACAAAGAGCACTTAAGAATTTTCATAGGCAGCACTCAAAAAATGTTGGTTCAATTATTATTATAAATCAGCACCATCTTGAGTGAGGTACACACGTTTGTTGTAAGCTATATTTTGAAATGAAGAAACTGACGTTTCAAGTGGTTAAATAACTTGCCCAATGCAACACACAACCAATAAAAAGTGGTGTCAGGGTGAAAACTTAGGCATTCTTACTTAAGAGCCTACCCTCATACAACTGGGCTATACTAAATGATTACTTTAAAAGAAATAATACACATACTTACTTAGCTCTATGGTTGTTTTTCTCTCCTTCAAGAACAGAAAAAGATGTGAGAGCACACCCACCACTGTCTAATGACGTTGATCTTTCAATAAGATTGGTCACAAAATCATCAAAGTGACTGCCAACTTCCTTCATAAAAAATGGCTTCAACTGCTACCAAATTTCAAAATAAATAAAGAAAACGTAAGAGACTAAATCATACTTGTGGGTCATTAACATTTTCTAAAGAGCACTCCTTAAACAGAGCTGGATCAAAAGAAAGTCATGCTAAGTGAGTAAGCTCACAAGCGTTAACGAGAAAACTAATTTCTATAGCTGATCTGAAGTTTCAGGAATGGCTACTGAAAAAGCAACATGGTAGATTTATGCCCTTTTTAAAATTCATAGCCTTTTAAGCATGAATCAAGACACCAAAGCCATCACCCACAAAGTAACAGACATGATAAAAATGGCAGACTATTCTTTCTTCACTATTTATTTGAAAAAAAAATAAAAATCAGCATTATTATCACTATATAATGATCTCATTATATAATTACATAAAGACAATTTTTTTTAAGAAACAAGATTTATTAAACTGTGCTTGAAAAGAATGAGAAAAAAATGTTGTACATTATAGTTTGTTTTCTTTAAACATTTGTTCTAAATTTGACATCAGTGGTGTCATAAAGACATAATTTTAAGTCCTCTTCCATCTCAAGCAATCCCTCTACCACAAGTACCACTGTTTACATTTTAGAGCAAGTCATTTCTATAGCATACCTTCATTTATACAGTAATATTTACTCCTACCTCCGTAGCTGTATTTTATCTAATCATAAATACACATTTTTTCATAAGATAAAATTGTTATACATTTAGGCCTCAGACTACTGTTAACATCTTAAAGCTTACAAGCTCACAGTTTTTGAAAGGTATGAAACAGAAAAATATTCTTTGGATTATAATAAGCCACCCACTGAAGATGTCCAAATTGTAAATTTGAGTATTTTAAAATTGGTAGGACTTAGCAACATAAAGGAAAACAAAGTGTTAATTGCTAACTCTTCAAGAAAATAAATGCTCTTTTCCTCTGACTAATTTTTTTTTTTTTTTTTAAGTTGAACTTAAAAGATCTGAAGTAGCATTCTTCTAGATTCCGTTATACAAAAGAGTTGGGAAAAGCCCTTCAAAAGTACAAAGTCTAAAAACACCAACATAACCAATGGAACTATATGAAGGCTTTTCAAACTTTGTTCTGTTCCTGAAAGTCTACTGGGTCCTGGGCAGTGAGGTTTCAGCTCTCACAGGAAAGCTGAAGGAGTTGGAAAATAAAAGACATACACATATAAACAATATATAGTAGGCTACCTAAACGCCGCGTGAGCAGTATAACCACCAATAAAGACTCCAAGAACACGTCAGAGTTTAGCAAACTGAGAAAGCAAGAGTGAGTTGATTAGAACTGGTCTTTTTTGAGCTGAGAGTTGAGATGAAATCTCAAAGGACCAGCAGGACTTAGATCCTGTGAAAAGTGACAGGAGGAGAAGAGAGAGAATGTGATAAAAAGCAGGGAGATAGGAAGGTATGATGAATTTTAGCCAAAACAGAAGATGCAGATGAGGAGGTAGGTTTTAGGGACAAAATATAGAGGGCCTATGTTTCCCGGAAGAAAGAAAAAGAGTTTTTAATAAAATTATATTTTCATATTAAGGTTATCTGTTGTTGTTAGCTGCCATTCAGCTGGCCCTCAACTCATGGTGAACCCACACACAATAAGGTTGGACCAGGGGTGGATTCACCAGTAAGCAAGGTATGCATGGGCTTAATTGTGTTTACTTACCAATCTGTAGTACAAAATTTCACATGGGTTTCCAGGGCAATGTCAATAAGATGGGGCATAAGAGCCTTTGGAAGTTCTCTCATCTTTGGAACACTTTGACTCTCTAGTCAGAAGTGTTGACCAACTGCAAATCGTATATAACATAAACTTTGATTTTTATTATTGGTTTAATATGTTTTTATTTTAACAGGTCTTAAACCAAACTCAAAGTAGACTAGAGACCTCATAGTTTATGTTAAGTGAGACAAGTAGAAAGAAGGGACAAAAAATCAAAAGAACGTACTCATACTTATATTAGCCAAAAGGAGAAAAGATATGACCAGATCTAGGGGAGGAAACTAAACAGGACAGCTGTAGTAGAGACTGTTAGCTGTCGACTTTATCATCCCCTGCTCCTTTCTTTAATACTAGAATCCCAGATTTTTGCCCAGGCACATAACTGCCCAGAATAAATAAGTTTTCCAGTCTCTCTTTGTAGTTAGGTGACCAAACACTTGCCAATAAGATATAGGCAGAATTGGTTTGTCACAATCTCTAGAAAAGTTCCTTAAAAGGCAGCTGGTGCCTGTTCTTTACCCCGCCTTCCTTCCCTATCTCAATTCTGCTCCTCGGAACCCAGATGAAACAGCTGGAGTTCTAGAAGCCTATTTGGACTGCGATGAGAAAGACGATCACTGCCTAGGAATGGTGAGACAGGGAGCTGGAAGGGACCTGGGTCTCTGAGGGCTACAGAGACACCAGGACAGCTCTGGACTTCCTACCTCTGGAGCTTTTACATGAAAGGGAAATATACTTCTACCTTGTTTAAACCACTATTATTTTTGTGTTTACTATTACAACGGAACCTAATCTTGACAATACTCAAAGAATTTCTGGGCAGAAAGTACTTAGACTTGTCTCACCAGCAGCCTACAATCAATCAGACAGATCGGCACTATCCAAAAACCTTTCTAGAAGGGGTTTACTTGAACAAGCGATAAACCATGGAAAGAAGCCCTAATTTTCAGCCATGTCATCTGATTCTTATTCACTGCAATTTGCTCACCTATTAGTTGGGCAATAAATAACATAAGATACAGATGTGAAAAACAGTACTTGAAATGCTATAAAGAAGCAAACAGAATATGTTGCAATAAGCATTTTCAAGAAGTAGAAGTAATTTTTTTCGTATCTTCAGTTTTTACATTGGCCATAACATTCCCTATACAAAATTGTGTACATTAGTGGAAAGAAGCTCTATAAATCTTGATAGTTAAGATACCTCCTATTCCTGGAAGTTCTCCCACATTTTTACTTTCCTCTGGGAACTGTCCTCAGAGTTGAGGACAGGCACCCAGTGCCAGGCAAAGGCTGTACTATATCGCCCTGCCCTTCTGACCAAAACCAAGTGACCCCGATTCTCTCTCATAAATCTGAGATTCTGAGCTTTGAAAAGAGTGTCTGAAAAGAACTGTGAAATATCCACAAAGACAGTTTCTGAACTCTTGCTACTAAAATCCCCTGTCCTGTTTCTTCCCAAAGCCTGGGTGTTCAATTTCTCCCAGGATTCTATGAGATAAACTACTATCAAATATATTCCCTTTATGGTTAAGTACCCAAAGTAGGATTCTGTTACTGACAACCGAAAGAATAAGTTTAACTCACGCAAAGTTAAAACAAAGCTAATTTATCTATCAGTGTAAGTTGATTGGGACTCAATCATTTGAATCTCCCTTGAACTATGCCAATATCTTATGTCTTGTTACAACACAATTCTAAGCATTTCAAAAGGTCATGACTCAGGATTACACAATTTTGCATAACCCTGCTAGCACTAAATAAAAAGTAAGTACTTAAAACTTTTTTATGACATTACTTTAAACCTGGAAGTGACCTTAAGAGATTCACTCAGTTCAACCCACTAATGTCACCACCTATTTCACTTTTGTTGACCTTCAATTTAGGGCTGGCTCAATACTAGACAACCTCCTTCACATCTCTCCTTAATATGAGCTCCCCTATCTACAGATCTAAAATTTTATGGACAGTTCTTTGCCAAGATTTCACAAATAAAAATACAGGGTACCCAGTAAAATTTGAATTTCAGATAAACAATGAACGTTTTTAGTCCGAGTATGTCTCAAATATTACATGAAGACTAAAGAATTATTTGTTGTTTATCTGAACTTCAAATTTAAGTTGGTATCCTGTTTTTCATCTGACAACTCTAGTTCTGTGGAACTCAAAGAGCTACCCAATAGCATCTATAGACTACTCATTTCTTTTACAACAGAAAACAGTGAACTAGGAGCAAACATTTAAGTTAGCTACACAACTGTGACACAGACTATAGAGGTGAAGGGGATCTTGGAATTAGCTAATCCAATACTCTTACTTTCAAGGTCAAGGGAAGACTGCCCAATGAAGATGAGCGATGCCTGGGATAAGCATGACACAAATTACAAATGACTAGAGAGACTTGAGATCTTCATCTGTTTGAAAAACATAATACACAAAAGAAGAGAGATTTATCTGTGAAAGAACAAGAAAACTGTAGACCCTGAATAATGCTCATAAACCTGTTAACTCAATGATCATTTTATGTCAGTAAATGCCAACCTATCAAGCAAAACAGAACAATGTAACTAGTCTAGTCAGAGACTTTCCTTGTAAATGGGATAATCCAAGTAAGTTATGTAGGATTATGTATACAAAGCACCTAGTAAAAGGTGTGGCCCATAACAAGACTTCTAAACGTAATTCCCTTCTCCTCCCTGCCCCTGTTCTCTCAGTCTAGAAGTAAAATACTATAATTGCTTCCTATCTGTTCTCATTGTCTCGAGACTGTACGTTAACCTGAACTTTGACATCAGAATAGCATTCCTCCTATACCTTGCTCAAAAACAATGGTAAAATGTTCAATCTCATTAAAGATCAAATAATTGCCAATTAAAACATTTTGACTTTTAAGTCAAATCACCTATAAATTCACCAAATAAAATTTGGTGATTCATTCAAAACAAAGCACTGTCTAATAAATATAGGGTGTGCACTCAGGGTGTAACCTAAGTAACCAGGAATACAGAATAGAGAGGATAGCATTTCAAGCTGGGGTATTTACAAATTTGTAGAAGCAGCATTTGAGCTAGAAGATGAGTATATATAGTATTTTCATTGGTTAAGTAGGAAATAAAAGGAAATTTCAGGTAGAGAGAGTTGCTTGAACAAAGGAATGAAGGTAGGAAAAAGTGCTTTATAATCTAGTCTCAACCTTCTCTTTCTTTCCAATATGCCCCAACAGGAACACTAAACTCGACTAAGTGCCATTTCCAAGATATAGTGTCTACGTTTTCTACCTCCATACCTTTGTCAAACCATTCTCTTCCTTAACATCAGGGAACAAGTCTTGCACAACTCTGCAACCCTTCTATCATTTGCACAATACAGCTTAATAAATAATACTAGTTAAACAAATGTTCAGCTTTTTCTCAGCTTCTTTTACCTTAATTCACTAGTTTCTTTCTTCTCTCCTTCTAATCCTCCTGACTAACCAAACTAAAGAACCAAATCTACCTACCTATAGCTAACTGATTAACATATGACTGCACGGAGAGACTGCCCCTTCACTTATTTGAAACTCCTCATTCACAAATAATACCTAGGTCTGGAGAAATAAGAAAGGTAAAAAAACACTCCAGTAAGTCTTAAAAGCAAAGTTTTTTTTTAATTTATTTGTTGTTGTTGAGAATGTACATGGCTGAACATCACCAATTCAACAATTTCTACATGTACAATTCATTGACACTGATTACATTCTTCAAGTTACACAACCATTCTCACCTTCCCTTTCTGAGTTGTTCCTCCCCCATTACCATAAACTCACTGCTTCCTAAATTTCCCAACTTTCAGTTGCTCTTGTCAATCTGCTCTCATATACTTAGTTCTTAAAAGAGCACAATGATCAAGGCAAACAGTCTATACTAATGAAGCTAAAACTTTTGTTTGATTTTAAGAAGACTTCAGGAGATATTTTTGGCTTAAGGTTTAAAGATTACCTCAAGGGTTCATCCAGCCTCCATGACTCTAGAAAGTCTGGAGTCCATGAGAATTTGTTCTGCATTTTCCCCCTTCTGATCAGGATTCTTCATATAATCTTTGATCAAAACATTTAGCGATGGTAGCCAGGCACCATCCAGTTCTCTAGTCTCAAGCAAAGGAGTTAGTTGCTCATGAAGGCAATTAGCCACACATTCCATTTCTTCCTCCTATTCTAGACTCTCCTTCCTCTCTTGCTCCAGGCAAACAGAAACCAACTGCTGTATCCTGGATGGCTGTTTACAAGCTTTTAAGATCCCAGGCACTATGCAAGGATCTTGGAGGCAAAATAGAAGCACTAAACACGATATTAGGCCAATTAATTGGGATGTACCATGAAACCATGACCCTAAATCTCCAAACCAAGAAACCAGATCCCATGAGGTGTTTGGTTGTCAGCCTCAGCAGCTGCTCTTTTTGTTGTTGTAATACAAAACAAAAATTTTTCATTTTAATCAGTAAATTAGCAAGACTATGCCTTTAAAACAATCAATACATGTGCCTATATTTTAAACAGATTTTTCTTTTCTTAGCCAAAATTAGAAATTATCCCTAAGATAACTGGAAGCTGCTTAATCAAGTCTTTAAACAGTCTCTCACAGTAAAGAAACAAAGTATTACTTGCAAAAGGCATTCACCTGAAATGACCTCAATCATTGCAGTTTTAGAGACTACACATGAAACCTAGCGGAATCAGTGAAAAAACTAACAACAAGATTTAACACACTTTTAACTAACGGTCTGGACTCAGTTCCAAGTATAATAAATATATCTTTTGATACCACTTTTAAAAGGCAATACTGTAAGTAGTTATATTTTAGAAATCACAAATATACCTACAAGATGGAAGGGGGAAAACTGTCCCAATGTTAAGCAAAGGAGCCCTGGTGGTGCAACGGTTAAGCGCTCGGCTGCTTAGTGAAGTCAGCAGTTTGAACCTACCCTGTGGTTCCACTGGAGAAAAGCCCTGCCTATCTGTTCCTGTAAAGATTACAGCCTAGAAAACCCTTGCTTATGGTGCAGTACTGCTCTGTCACAAGGGATTGCTATGAGTTGCGACTGACTTGACAGCACCTAACAACAACGTTAAGCAAACAGGTAATGAAATTTCTAGTGACATCATTATTCCTGGACTCAAAAAGTGCTGTATGTATCTCCAACAAATGAAAGTGAAAATGATATATTCCAGGCCTTGGAAGATGACTAAAAAGCTAGCTCTGATAATAACAAAGACACTGGTAACAAAGTGCGTGTAAATAATCTGAAATGCATTTTTTTATGAAATGTTATTAGAAAAATAAATATTTCTAAATAAAAATTATTCTATATAAATGCATATATACACACATATATGCAAGTAAATAAATTTTTTTTTTAAAGGGCTATTTCATCTACATCACTGCAAGTTTATATATGCAAGTTAGCCATCAAACTTTGGAAGTTATTTTCTCACTAGGAAAATGGGAGGTTCTCTTGGATTTGAAGTCAATTTACATTCAGGCACACACAGTATCAGATTATAATTTACAAAAACAAAACAAAGTGTTCTTTGTCCTTCAGAATTTCCAGAGGGCACTGCTGAATTCTAACTTGTAGAACTGTTCACCGGACTTGAAATTACTCCATGCTGTTATGTTTTTTGAGTTGGTATTTCTTCTACTTCCCTGTCAAGGAATCAATCAGCTTCTAGATTCAGATTCAACGTTTATTGGAGGTTATTATTTACTATGAGCCATGATAGTTGCTTTCATAAAGCACTCATGCAGATATTCACCTGTATCAGCTTTTAACATGGTTCCTTTTAAGAGCCAGAAGAGGAAAGTGGTGGCGGGTGGAGATAAAAGAAAATTCTTACGTAGGATGGATGCCAAGGCGATACACCTTGTTTTCTCTGTTCTACAATAGGATAATGTCAACTGATAAGAACTTTTAGTAATTCTTTCAGCAATTTAGCATCAAGAATTTTACTGAACAAAACTATTTACCCTAAAACTACATTTTTGCTCCTAAAAGAGTTACTTACCTCTGCCTCTACTGTCAATCGTATCTTCTTTGATATTAACTGTTTTATATCAAGCTGACCTAAGGGAAGAAAAAAAATTTGACTTTTAAATTGACAGACACAGTTAGTTACCTAGCAGTACTATTTAAATCCCAAAGTTGAAAACCAAACAAGTAAATATAGAATTGACTATATAAACTATGGAGCCATGGTGGCACAATAGTTAAGAGCTTGGCTGCTAAGCAAAAGGTTGGCAGTTCGAATCCACTAGCCACTGCTTGGAAACCTTACGGGGCAGTTCTACTCTGTCCTATAAGGTCGCTATGAGTCGAAACTGACTCGATGGCAACGGGTTTGGTTTTTGGTTTTATATAAACTATGGTGCAACCAAAAAGCATGATGCAGCTATTAAAATGATGCATGAACAATATAAACAAAAGGAAATATGTACATAAAAACATTAAATAGAAAAGAACAGATACTTTAAGTTCATACGTTAATTACAACTACTGATACGATGGTATAGATCCTTCCATTTCTGACAGTATGGAAAATTAGATGTCCTGAATAGACCCTCCAACTGAGACTACTAAAATGCTAGGTAAAATATTAAAAACTAAATTAAAAAAAAAAAAAAAACTTATTACTAAGCTAGTACAAATCAACATAGGCAAAAAATAAAATGAAACAGGAACCCTTGGAGATACGCAAGAAACTTAAGGATTTCTACCAAACTCTAGAAAGTTTAAGCTTCTACACTGACAGCAACACAGGGTAGAGAGGACAAGTTGGCCTGCCCAAGATGGAAAGTCTAATAGGACACCTGCACATAAAGCCGGGAACCCACGAGACTACATCCTCACTGTACAAGACAGAAACCCACAACAGAAAGGAATAGCAAGGAAACATGTCTGTCTCTACTTTGATGCTGTGTAGATGGGGGAAAAACTCCCGAGAGCTCATAACTCAAAATCAACCCTCACTAGAGTTTGCAATCTAAATTCACACTATTTGTATAGTCTGAAAAACCTCAAGAGGTGAATTTATGTTAAGGCAATCCCAATAAATGTCAGATATCATTGTGTGTACGGATGATGTTTTGCACAGGTGACTGAATGAAATGGAGAACAGAGTAAGTAATGAAATGTGTATTTGTCTTTGCAATAAACTAAGATAAACTATATAATTTTGGTAGTATATTTTTTAAAATCAGGTTCCTTTTTAAAGTAAGAACTTTTATTTTCTCATCTCTTCTACTTGGTGAAAACTGTATTTTTATTTCAGTATCAACAATCACTGTTGTATATTTTGCCTAAAAGGGGATACGAGTGAACCTCATCTTTATAAGGACACTCAGATTTATAAGGGAGAAGTGATTTCCCAGAAATTGTAGGCTATTCACTTTGCCAGAATGAACATTTAGAGGAGATAGCTGGGCTAATTTATGGTTATCAACACTCCCTCCTTATTTTAAAAGTAATCTTCATTACAGAAAATTCAAACACCCGGCTCCCCACTCTACCAAAAAAAAAAGGTCACATAAGATCACCCATCATCCTATGATGTTGATAACTATAATAATACAATAATACAATAATTTGGTAAATATCATTTGTTCTTTTATTTTGGTAAACAAATATGTTTTAATAAAAATGGGTTTGCTTATGCATACTACTCTGTAACTTTTTTTACTTTATATATTATTAGCATCTTTCTGTGCCATTGCATCTTTTTCTACATCATGTTTACTGGATTACTGGATTATATTGTTTCCTGCACGAACCACAGATTAATTCTCTATCGTACATTTATTTAGACTATTTACATCTTTTGACACACTTCACTTGTGGAGGTTAAAAAAAAAAAAAGGCATGGAGAATGGAGAGAGAAAAGGTCCAAAACGCATCTAATCAGAGTTCTATAAAGAGAGACACTATTTTAAGTAGTAATGGTTGAGAATTTTCCAGAATTGTTGAAAGACACCATCCTCACTTAAAGGCCAAAGAATCCCAAATAGGATAAACAAAAATCTATACTTAGCTATATCATAGTGAAACTGTGTAACACAGAGGGTAAGACAAATATTCACTTGATTTTTCTAAAGTGTAAGAATATACTTTTTAACTTAGTTCTCTACTGTCTATCTCATACTGTCTATGACCAGACCAGAGTTTCATTAATAATCTATTCAGTTTATTAATAGGCTATTTATTTCATAAGTAAATGAATATGAAATCTTCTTCCTTTCAACTAATTCAATTACTATGGTGGGGGTGCGGATGGGGAAGGAGACATTTTAAAAGATTAACTCTCACTACTTGTACATCACTTCCAAAAGTAATCTTTCTCTATGTAAATAATATGATAACTGTCATCACAAACTAGCTTAGACGAGAGGCAGGGGGTGGGGAATGAGAAAGTTTTTGCTCATACTTAACCTAGAACCTATGAAGATTTCTTGAAAATAACGTTAAAGTTACATAAATGAAAAACATATACATATATATGCCAATTCATTTTCTTTCACCTTTAAAATAACTCTTCTTACAATAGTCAAAAGAAAGTATTTACTTTCTTGCTACCTAAATTTTTTAATTAGCTTAAAAGCTAAAAGAATAATGCCCTAAAAGGCTAACGTCCAATGATTTACAGAACTATGTACAAATACTTAACCACACAAGTCAACTCAAGGCTTCTAAATTTCTAAAACACTGACCCTGAAGTAGTGATAAATAAACCAGGACTGAAGGTCATGCCATTTCTGAGTATCTGCCTACGTCTCCTAATATCACTGGCCGTTAAAAATAGGAGTCAATTATTTTTTAACTGAAATATTAAGTTAATATTAAGTTTACACTGTTACAGCACATCTCAATTCTGACTGTTAACCCAACAATAAGTCCTGAAGGAAAGCTACTCAAGATTTTCTTTGTTTATTCCCCCTAACTCTGGTCTTCAAGAATTTAGGCTTCTAACGTTTGTCTCCATGAATAAATGTTACCTGACATTTGTAAAGTCTACTACAGTAATATTTCAGTTAACTGGAATATTTAGATTTTACTCCTTACCCCTAGAACTGTCAAAAATATTTTAACCAATTTTGATAAAGATCTTTATAAATTACATGCTTTAAACCAAAAAATCAAACCCACTGCCGTCGAGTCAATTTAGACTTATAGCGACCCTATAGGACAAAGTAGAACTGCCCCACAGGGGTTCCAAGGCTGTAATCTTTACGGAAACAGACAGCCACATCTTTCTCCTGTGGAGCAGCTGGTAGGTTCAAACTGCCAACCTTTCAGTCGGCAGCCGAGCATTTAACCACTGCGCCCTAAAAAACAGAGACTCTACCTTACATAATCTTTAGCACAACTAAGAGTGACCATTTATTGTACTGTGCTCTTATAGTGATGCCTTTAGTACAAACTGAAATGTGGAAAACAATCAGGCCCCAGGGAGTGGCGACATTCTAGTTGGACTACTTCACTGCTTTTTACCAACTCAGCTTCCTGTAACAATTCTACACTTCTCCTACCACACTATCTACTGCCGATGTGACCCAAAATAAAAGGAGAAATAACCAAGCTCGTTAAACTGGTAACTCCTTTACTCATTCAATTTGTATATTCACGCATTAAATAAATGCCCACTGAGGACTCAATAAGTTCAGGGCACTGGGGATGGATTCCAACCCTTCCTTGAGGCTCTCTGAAGAAAAATACACAAACACTGACAATCACAATATACAGAAGGGTTGTGGGAGCATGGTGGGGGGAGATTTTTGGGAAAGGAAGTCAATATCTGAGCTAAGCCACAAATGATAAAGAGAAATCATGGTGAAGAGGTGCTGGGAAGATTATTCCAAGCAGAGGAAACAATACAAAGATTTGAAAGGACTTGAATTTTCCAGGACTTGAACCTGAGTCAAATGCCTCCAAATGCCAAGTACTCTTTGCTTTACAGTACTATATTTACATAATCAACAGGCTTTTGCCTAAGGGCACTCTTTACCTACTTACTTTTCAGGTTACCAGTTGCATTCTAGGAGCCCTGGTTAATGCTTGGCTGCTAACCAAAAAACTGGTGGTTCGAACCCACCTAGTGGCTCTGCAGGAGAAAGACCTGGTAATCAAGTCCTTAAAGATTACAGTGAAGAAAACCCTATGGGCGAGTTCTACTCTGTCACATGGGATCACTATGAGTTGGAATCAACTCATACATTCTTGATTAGTGCTGTCCGGTAGAAATATAATACAAACCACATACATAACTTAAAATTTTCTAGGAACCACATCAAAAAGTAAAAAGAAACAAGTGAAAGTGAGTCTTTGAAATCTGGTGTATATTATACTTACAGCACATCTTAATTCAGAGTGGTCACATTCTAAATGCTCAATCACCACACTTAGCTAGTGGCTACCATATCAAACAGTGTAGTTCTAGATCAGGGGTCAGGCAAACAACTTCTGCAAAGGGCCAGCTTTGTGGGCCATATGGTCAGCAACTGTGTTACAATTACTCAGTTCGGCCTTGACTCTGCTATTGTAGTACAAGATTCAGCAAACATAAACCAACGTCCATGGCTGTGTTCCCCAAAAAACTCCATTTATGAACAGTGACATTGGACTTTGTATAGTTTTCACATGTCCCAAAATATTCTTCTATTTACTTTTTTCTATATATAAAAATGTAAAATCATTCTTGGCTTGTAGACCAGTGGCCAGCCAGATTTGGCTTTTGAGCTAATAGTTTGCTAACCCATTTCTAGATGGCTGAGTTTACTGTAAATGCATCTGGCAAATAAAACCAACATGTAGGTACACATTATTTTTTATAATCTAACATAGCTTTGGTGAACACTGCTACGAAAAGGTTAGCCTTGAAAAAAAGAGATGAACTACTCCTTCCTCTGACACTGGAACGACGGAAAAGAGGATTAAAGATAATGAAAATTAAGAAAGAGAGAAGACATTTAGGAAATTGACACCAAAAATCAACAATTGGAGGTTGCTTCATACTCCTAGAGCTTGCTTTCCCAACATGAGCATGTGTTTCACTCCCCTTGCCTGTAACTGATTTA